AACGTCGATTATCCCCATAAAATATACGTATTGAGGATCGTTACCTGTGGTGGTAATTTTAAATTTTAGGCAGGACATGACATCACTCGCTAATATTCGTACCAACGTTCTGAATGCGCACCATTACGATACAGCACTCGCGTGCAATCAAACAAAAATTGCTATATTCAAAAGGAAGTAAAGTACTGTACTCAATTTTCAGAATTTAGCTTTATCTGAACGTTATCTCAATTAGGCTTTCAATTTTATAATTAAGGAATCCAGAACAAATGATCCAGGGATTCGGTTAATATTTTTCCAACAGTACAATAATCGAAACGATTAAAGTACTTCGATTTTTCTTTTGAAACACCACTGGAATTCCTTATTCAATTCATCCTTATCCTTTTCGTTGTCTTCAAAAACTAAAAGCGCTGCTTTAAAGTCGCCTTATAAGACTTCTATTGCAAGACTTAAAGTTTTAATGGGTCTTTTGGGGCTATTACAAGCCTGAAAAATACGTTACCGAGTTCGTGCTGCTTCTCTTCGCGAAATAAACGTCAAAGCCCAGACAGAACAGCGATTAATGCAAATAATGTGCTTGAAAAGACAAATGTTCGTGGTCCCTCAATAAGTAAAAAAAATGGGGGCAACTTCTTTGGCATTGATTTAAGAAAAAGACGGAACTGCGCACTTCCATAAAAAGTGCATCGTCTACCACGCCTTATTTTTCTATGCACAATTTACTTCGGTTCCCTCGAGAGAAACTACCTGCAATACTGTTGGAAAAACGCAAATAAAGTGACTCACCGACGCTGGGTATGGCATAGAGATCGGTGTGAGGGTCAATCTGTCCATTCGACAAAGCCCTGGGGCGGCCATGGGATGTCAAAGGACTGTCTGGCGGCGTCCCGTGCCGTAATGATCTTAGAGGTGGCGGCTGCTCTCTAGCACCTCGACGAGGAGGTCTGGGTGACGAAAGCAGAGGTAGAAAAACTCGTGCTTACAAAGGTTGTGTAATGTGTCTTTGCGTGAATCAGTAGAAATAATATCACACTTCCGAAAAATCTTAAGAAAATGGCAACCCAAGTATTTTAATAGTAGATGCAATGAATCCAAATCAAATTCATTAAAATCTTCCATTTTCCGCCATTAAAACTTGAAGTACTACTGATTTAAACATAAAGAAGTTGGTATTCATGTCGCAATCATATCTTCCGATTAAAAACTAGTCGCAGCACAACCTCTCGAAAATACTGAATCAACTTTTACTAAGGCAGAAGAAATCACGAAATGTAAACAGAAGATCAACACATTCCGAAACGAAGTCAAAATTGATAAGGCAGATAGAACAATGAAATTTTGCGGGAATTAAATTTAAATTTTTTTTCAGACCTCGGATATTTAAAAAAAAATCACATCTTTCGGAAAGTAAGGGGAAGAGCTAGGAAAAATTTGTTTTGATACAGTACTTTCAAATTTTCGAAAGGCTCGTGAATATGAGAAAAATATAGGAATTTGGATGCGGGAATAAATAATTGAAGGTCAGAAACGAACCTTCATATTCCTCAGGCTCCAAAACGTCGCAATCTTCTCGCTCCGCGCGCTCGCAGTCGTGAACACCCAACAACAACGAATAATCCATCACATGCACTTTGGTAAGGAACTGCAATTATGAATAATGAACAAAGCAGAAAACGAACTTGAGTCTTTTCTGAACCAAAACAGAAATCAAAGTACTGGCTNTAATTGAACAAAAGTTTAGAAACCCATTATATACACGAACGCTTCAACGAGAAATAATGGGTCTCCAAAAAAAGATTTTTTTGTGCAGCAAGAAAATTCCAGCTGTCTAGATTATATAAATGACGAGCCAAAATACGTCTCCATGAATAAATTGAACGCTTCATTAACCGAAAATTCGTCCTGAAGGAATTTTCAATTTCAGGAAGGAACCTCGACGTCAAAAATAAACCTCAACTTCTGTAAAAACTTCAATGGAATTTCAGCCACTACACACTACATTCTTAGAAACCTTCCACTTTAGTCTCAATTTCGATACTTTCACAGATCATTTTACTAAGAAAAAAATAATAACCAGCGATTTCATGATACAGTATTTCAATTGAAAATTCGAACAGAAAATATTAAAATGTAACTCACACGTGAACTTTAAAATTGGCGCTGAAAATATTTCGCATCACAACAAAATAGTGCTCAACGTTCTCAACAGTCAGCCTGTACATTCCCATGTACTGCGGCAAAAGCGTCTTCCCATGCCTTTCAACGACGTACTAGAAACAAAATGATTTTAATTAGATCACCTGAGTAAAAACCGATTGAGCATTTAATCGAGAAAATCATACCTGATGATACGGTTTCAACAAAGAATGCATCTGCTCAACTTCCTCGCGAGTCAGCATTTTAATCACGAAAAGCTGATCATGACTGAGATAAAACTTTGCTCCACCTCTGCCAAAAGCTTTAACTGCGATCGGTTGCAGCGCAGTTAAACTTTCTCGGTAATCAAAATCGTCCATTCCAAAGCGTTCTCGAAGGTTTCGGAACACGATAGGACAATATTCCTTGAACTTGAAACGACTCACCATATTCTCTCTGGAAAGAAAGAAAATTTGTCTGTACAGTTACTTAAGGAAAAAAACTTGGAACACTAAATTTCGAACGATCATATGGTGAAAGTTTCCGAGCTGGGAAAAATAAGAATACTGTTTTAAAGACTAAAAATTTGAAAAAAAAACGGTTTCCCACATATCTGAACCAACATTCGGGAAAATATCGTAGTAAATATGAACGCTGGATGACGAAAAAAGAATTCGAGAACTAGCAAAATGTTTGCTTAAAAATTCGTCCAACAGGGACTAGTTTTTCAGGATGAATGTACTGTATGTGAAAAGCAAGCAAAAGTATTTGCGTGATTGGTATCAAAAATCGATTTCGACTCGAATGGCCCACATTCATATTTAATCATGACTGATCGTCAATTTTCGTATTTCTTATGCCTGTACTCAGGAAAAAAATATTTTGAGAAGCACCAAAACAATAGTGAGCGATAAAAAGATTCTTCGACGAAACGAAGTCCACTTAAATTGTGGGCATCCTTAATTTTCGTAGTGAGGCACCAAAACCTTTCCCCATACTTAAATTACCTGTAATGCAACAATAAGAAGTGAGTTTGGCCTAGCGTGTTATAACTTGGAAAACTCTTGTTTATATAATGTCATTTCATGACATAAATTCTTGACCTTTTGAATGAACAACTTCTCTACTAAAAGTTGAAACTAGAAACGTTTCCGAAACTTCAGCAGGGGCATAAGCATCACAGGTATGTTCACATGACTCAGTTCATTTATCTAAAGAAATATACAGTAGTGACTTAAATTGTACGTGAGATACAAAGTCAAGTCATACCGAGTGATTAACACCCCACATCAACACAGACAGAAGTGGCTCGTTCGCTCTGAACAGTTTCCGCTTCTGATGCTTCACGCGGATGTGCTTTTTCTTCATCTTGAAGCTGGCAGATCCGATAGTCGGCGTCATTTCACGCGACAGATTTTTTTCTCCACAATATCGATCAACAAAAATTAAAAAACAGACATAACAAAAACCTGTAAATAAAACAATTTGTAGTAAACTCGGGCAAAAAATTGAACTTGAACTTCATATAAGCGGGTCCTAACTATTCTGTAATTTATAAAAATCACCAGGATACAATTCCCATCACAAACATTAGTTCTAATCAAATTTCAACTGAGGTAGCAGCTCTCCAATTCTTGCAGATATTTTCTCTAGTCGTTCTGCTAGAGGAGAGCAGCCAGGTTACAAGTGCTATCGGTGACCGTTGAAATCAAGGAAGGGTACATCTTGGTTTGCTATGGGCCTCTTTTGGACGCTTAAATTAACAAACGTACATGAGTAATCTCATTTTATCAAGAAACTTTATAAAATGTAAAAAATTTTCGAAAATATGTCATGAAAAATCATTGCCGTCGTTTCGAAAAATTAGTCCATAACAAATTTCAACCCTTAATTTATTTTTCTGTAGAACTATTATTGTTCTATACCAGAACAAAAACTTGGTCGAGAAATTCGGAATGAAAGAACATTGAAGCTTACAGGTTGTCGACGAGGAATAAAGCAAGTACAGTACAGCGTTAATGCTGAAGGAATATAAAAACAATTTTGTATCTACCGAGCATCTAGATAAAAAAAAATCTGATTCATTTAGTCAACAAAGAAACTCAAGTAGAGTTTGAACTGTGTGTCGTCAAAATGATTATTTATGCTTGGTGAGATGCTTGGATACTTGATGGAAAAGAAACCATAAGATAATGAAAAAAAAAACCTTAGATTACATGCATTATTAATGGTTGATTCTGAGTTTTTCATTTATTTTCCGAAGAAAAAAATTTACCTCGAGAGATGATCCCAAAACGATTAGTCCATCACTGAGCCCAATACGATTCTTAACGTCGTCAACCAAACGTTTGGGAATATTGTCCCCAAAAAATACGATGCTAGGCTGCAAATTGCCGGTCAAACATTTCGGACAGCTTGGCACAATGAAATTCAGAAAATCTTCATCAGACAACTCTACATCTGCGTCAGGGCGAACAGAAGCAGTGGAAGTCACTTGAGGCAACCTGGCTGCCAATTCAGGATTCATTTCCAGCAGAATCTTTTGGAACTCAGATCGCGGCTGCGTGTACGGACACTGCAAGCACCTGGCGATAACAATTAAATACTCTGTATTTTTAGCTTCATCCCCTCGCAGAAACACGTTGATCAATTTACCTTACAGTGTAGCCATTTCCGTGAAGATCAACAACATCAATCGAACCTGCTTTTTGGTGCAATCTGTCCACATTTTGCGTCACAGTTGCCACCAATCTTCCAGTTTTCTCCCAGTTTGCCACAGAAATATGGCCCCGGTTAGGCTGCAGTTTCGAAAAACGATCCCAACCAGCAAAATTCCGAGCCCAATACCTGGGAAATACGAAGCAGTTCTCAAAATCGATAAGTTACATTAGCTTGGTGAGGTTCGTCAGGTGTTGTCTCAGGTTAGGTGGGGATTTTATAAAGCTATCAAAATTGTTCGTCATGAATTGGTGTCAGGTTAGGTTCGTTTAGTGCTAGATTTTGTTACTTCGATGTAGGATTAGGTAGAGTATCATGGCTGCAACACCGATAAGCAGAACTTTTTTTAAAGGGCGTTTAATATAAATACTTCAAAGTTGCACGATTAATAATTAATTTTGATCACCTCTTTCTGACAGCGGCTTTTGACACAAATTCATGGAATTGAACTGGTCGTCTGTCCGTCGTGGCATACATTCCAACTTTCTCAGATCGGTAGTCGGGAATACCGCTTTCAGTTGACATTCCAGCACCAGTCAACACAAACACGCGTTTCACCGAGTCCAGAAACTTCTGCAAGTTATGGACATCTTCTCCTTTGGGTTTCACATGCGGTGGAACATAGCGCATCAACGCGCCTGCGGCACTCATGATATTGCACGTGTTGATAATTTGTACACCTGTTCAATTTATAAAAAATTATCTGTGAATGCAGCTTCAATTTGTCATCTACCGTGTGAAGTACAGCACGCACCTATATGTCATTTACACTGGAAACCGGCATCCACCTCAATTACACTAAAATAATTAAAATGTTTACTGATCTCCTGCAAAATAATGAATACTGTATTGAGTAAGTTTGAGGAAACCAAGGAAAGTCTGAGTTGACTCTAAAAATGTTAAGCTCTCTGTAGCAGCTTCTTTCAATACACAAGGCTACAGTTCAACAAGGAAAAAGCTTTCACATCTTATGGAACTCCCGAAGAAAATTACAAGAAAATCTTAATTTAGATACTGAAGAGTTTTAAATCGTAACGAATATCTGTTGGACTGAGACCCCTTGAAAACTTGATGATTACATACATTGCAATAAACCCTTTTTCTTCGTATCGTTAGGATGAGACTTAACCACTGGTCTTTTGTACATTTTAACATGGTTCAGCAAAAATTTGAGCAGTGGTCACAACATGATTAAATATCACTCATTTGAAAAAATTACTCAATCTTTCAAAAAAACTACAGTATAACAGAGGAGTCACAGCTTGAAAGAATTGCGAGAGAAGCGAGATACGAGTTTCGCAGTGGACGACATACAGATAGCTTCCTCAGCGTGGTGGATAACACACTGAAAATAAACGGATTCTTCGTATAAAATACCACAAGGAACAAATAAAACAAAGCAAATCGACATTGCACTGAGTTCCAATTACCCGAACTTCAACTTCACACGAATAAATTTCAACTACAAACGTCACTCGCGTTTCGCCGAGTCCGTTTCATGCCTAGTATGACGGGGACGGTCAGCTTCTTTCTCCGCGACCGAAGCTGCGTAGACAAGCACTCCCAACACCATGCACAGTGTGAAGAGCACGCCGGTTTCTAACCGGAACTGACTACATCCGTTTCATGCCTAGTATGACGGGGACGGTCAGCTTCTTTCTCCGCGACCGAAGCTGCGTAGACAAGCACTCCCAACACCATGCACAGTGTAAAGAGCACGCCGGTTTCTAACCGGAACTGACTACTTGCCTGACTCTTGATGGTTCTATCATATTTATTCACAGCGTACGAAGAAGAGCTTGCGTTGAGTGACATTACACGAACGATCTTTATTTATCTTTTTCATTCCTGTAGGTACTCAAAATTTTTACTACGACGAAAGTTTAAATATACCTCTCGAAAGGATATCACTCCGAAGCTCTCTTTCCATCTGCTATACTTTAATAACCATACAATACTTGTAAGACGTAAGACGCGTCATGGGATAAGAATTTAATCCACATAATTTTTCGGCAAACATCAACGGACCTCTACGCCAATTTTTTAAGTTCCATTCATTACATTTGTAGAGCGTTAATTCATCGAAACCACGCAAATATACAAAACATAACCAACTACACAAAATTCAAATAGCTATGTACGTTGAAAAATGTCCTTGTCCGCTAATGATAGACGGGGAAGAAAAGTCGACATCGAAATATCCTACCTGCCAGGCGTCGTAATCATACACGCGGGTCTGTCCGGACATTTTTACAGGTTTCGAGGGTCCTTTCTGCGTCCCTGGTTGACTATGACGTTTCACTTCAGCAAAATCACTGCGAGCATTCTTTCTAGTGTGATGGAAGCCATCGGCAGTGTGCAATAACCCTCGGTCGTACAATCTTCTCAACTGCAGATTTCCAAGCACCTGATATGCTTCTGAAATCTCGCGGAACTTCTGCACTGAGATATCATCTTGCTTCGTATCCGGGTGGTAAATCTAGGGAGAGCCCTTCTTGTCAATATTTGCCTTCTTAGCGCCAGCTCATTATTTCCATGTGTTTTTGACAAATAAGGCTGGATCAAATTGGTTCTTAGGTTGATCAGAATCAACATGCTCTAAATTTTCTAAAGAAATTATAGCAAGTGTTTCTTTTCGCGGAACATGTGCTTGAATAATGCGGGGGCAAAACCAAGAACATGGGTGTATCTTGAAAAGAAAATCTTTTGAATTAAAATAAAAACGTGGGAAGTTCTAAATTAACATAAATGATCCGAATAATGGGATGATTAAGCGCGTTTCCTGCACACATGTTTGAGCACGCATAAAAGCTTACCCGTCAAATCACAGTACAAAATCGCACGGACTCACCTTCGACAGCTTGTAATACGCTTTCTTGATTTCAGCATGCGTAGCGCCTTTACTGACCCCGAGCAATTGGTAGTACGACTGTTCTACAGCTGCTGCGGTTGCAAAACTCACGAAGTAACTCAAATCCTGCATCAGAAGCCCTCCAGGATCTAACAGCGTGGACTTCTACTTCAACTTCACTCCTCACCCCAGGGACGAAATTCGACCCACTTCCAGCTCCCCACTTCGTCCTGTGACACTTGCCCCGAGGTACAGCTGGATTGGTGGACCATTACTTTACAATGATCAGTGAGACTGATAGCAGTTCGTGAAAATAAGCTAGATGTCACTGTGAGTCGTTGCGGGACATTTTCATAACGCATGCCCGGTCAAGAACAAGACGAGGACATGCATGGTAGTTAATCCTGTTCCGATTACATATTTACCAAGTCTGTAATGCGAATTGTATCACATATTGTGCATTCCGCATGTAGGTACTGCACTTACTGTATACAATGACGAAGATAGAAATATGCCCACAGTTGAAGCAATGTGGGCTGACTGCTACTGCTGCAAGGTGAGCTTGAGCATCAGGTTAGATTGCAAGCATCAAGTTTGCAGAAAATAAATCACTTTGGTTCGTCCATGAAAACGGCGTTATTTTTATTGAAATACGCCAGTCAAAAAGTTTTTAAAATGTGTACTGTATACGTCATCAGCAGTCATCACGAAGTAATGAAAAGATATAAAACATAAACATCGCGAGGCTCTCAACGAAGTTCAAGAATCCGCACAATTATATTGTCAGATTCATGTGACAGGCTCGTCGACATAAAACCGTGTTCTTGATCACTGCTGCTTTCGAGGTCCGGGGCACCGGAGAATTGAGTAGCTCCGGTACGACTCGGACTGATGGTCCTGGATTCACTCAGGTCATCTTCGTCAATTTCTTCGTCCATATCCTCTTCTTCTCTTTCGTCAACTTGAGCATAATTGTCTTCATCGTAAACCCAGGATCGGTTTTCACTGGTCTCGGACTCCAGCTCGTAGTCAGCCAACTGCTCAAAGGATAGAGGGTTCCAAAATGTTTCAAAACTGCTAAAAAACTGGCTTACTGAATGCAAAAATTAATCATAAATAATCAACAGGTGTTTCCTGGAACCTAATCGTTTTAAACTACAGTATGTGATTTCTCTTCGGAAAATACTCAGAAGATTCTGCGGAAGTCATATCTCCCTTCTAAACTTGAAATTCCATATAAAAGCGAGAGTTGAGTCAATGCTTAGTTCATTTTTGTTCAATGACATTTTCTTGATTTTTGGCAAGAAAAATGCATATACTGTATGTGAAGTTCGCTGAGTAATTAGCAAGAACTGAGGATCTGGGCAATTAATGGGAAGTTAACTTATTCTTGAATTTCAGGGTTATAACGTACTGTAGTGTAACTCAGCAACTAATTTACTAAGTGCACCTTTTTCAACGCAAAATCTAGACGCAGGTGCGCGTTTTGTATAAATGATGATTTATATGATTAATTAATTAGTTTGAAGTTTAGATTTTTAGTTTCAGAATTCCAAAAATTATTTTCCCGATTTAGCCCGGCGACACCTGGAAACACAAATTAAAACACGAAACAAACTTTGATCGAAATCGATTTAATTGAATCATTCGTTGATCTTGAGTTTAGATTTTTCTTTTCTTCAGTATTCGAAATACAGCACTGCTACAATGTTGCCCACCGACATTTGGAAAAACAAATATAAATGCAATCTTAGATAAAACCAAATATTTCATATTGAATTGAAATACGCCGGTATCGAATTGTATTAGGGAACATTGAATTGAATTGCATTTTACTCAGAAACTGAGTTCAGATTTGCAGCTTCCGTGATTTTCTCAATGGCTTTCCGATGTTACCCGCCGACACTTGAAGATAAACACTAAATTACGAAAACAAATTTCGTCCACAACTATTACCGAGAATGAAATTTTCCGTAAGTTTGAATTCAGATCTTCAATTTCCGCATTTTTTTTTTTATATTTGACAACAGTGTCCACCGACACTCGGAAAGGCGAAGGAAAATACTTTATCGCACAAAAGAATAATTTTCATATGAATCTGAAGATATTTGTGGCTTCTGTATTTTTTCCAAAGCTGTTCGGATGTTGTTGTTCAGGGACCCCCAAAGACACCCAAAACGAGAGTCGCCACTTGCCTCGCTGTCATTTTCCCCGGGACTACCGGCACTGAGCGGCGGCGGAGGGGCAGCCGCCAGTTCGTACCGCTCGGTCTGGACGCGGTACAGGCCGTCTTCACCGCGCAAATACGTGTGTCGCTTGTAGCGATCCGGCAAAGTAATACCGTGCTGTTTCTTCAGGTGTTGAGTCAACACGCTTCCACGAGTCCATCTTCCTTCGCAAACGTGACACACGTAAACCCGCTTCTCCGCCCCACTGTGTTCCTGCAAAGTAGAAGAAAATCCGTTGAGACATGAACAACTCGACAATACATTCTACGACACAATTTCAATCCACATTCAGGGGGATCAGAACATTTCGGACCGGTTTTTCAAAAACACTTCACAAATAATAGAGGATTCAAATTTGAATTTACTCTCTCACGAAACTTCAATTATCCGTTATCGAATAATATTTCATATCCTTATTCGTCACATTATATTTCGATTTTTAAAAATTTCAAAAATTGCAGAGACAGTGAGGAAAGTCCCCTTGAACAGTATCCTTGCCAAAAATAAAAATGGCCAAGTCAAGCAGGTCAAACAAATGCAACTCAAGTACAGTACCTGTATCATATGATAAGAAAATTTGAGAATATTGGATGAAAATTGCATTACAGATATGTACATATTCGATTTTTTGTTCGTCTACTGTTTTCTCAACAACCGTACAGAAGAAAACCGACGAATTGACAGAATTAATCTCACATGTTTCTCGTGGTATAGTAGGGCTCGCTTATTCTTCGCACGGAAATCACACGTTGGTAATGGGCACATTATATCACTCGGTTCCTCCATATGGGTTTCCATGTGTCGATCATATTCAGCTTTCCGGGCACAGCTGCAATAAATCCAACATCAGATGTTTTGATCAACGCATTTTTTAAATGTTAAACCAATGAAGTGCACAAAAACACAGGAAGACGCAGTACAGCTCGTCAAATTTCATTGACCGAAAAAAAGGACTGACTAATTTGAACGAATAGAATTTTTAAATTGCAGTATACAGGTATCTGAAAAATCCTTTTAAAAACCATCTTTTGAATGTACGTAGTACTTTTTGTACACAGGATTTCCGCGAGTCGCCAAAAAAATTCCAAAGCAGGCTGATGAAACTTGGTCAATTTTTAGCAGTTATTCGGAATACGTAAAAAACAATATACGAATACCTGCCCAACTTTTTCACAAATCATTGTCAAAATTATTTCCACTCCTAATGACTCTAGAAGACACCAAGTAGAAGTCGCAGGATAAAAGATTTCCCAAGAATAGTTTTCTATGTTTTATGTGACTTAAAAAAGATTAAAAAAAAACTTGAAAATCTGTACACATGCGTGTCACCACATAAAAATTTCGGTGTAAAAAATTATTTTTGAACAGCCAAAATCATCGCCAGGCTTCAACTGTCAACATTGACTACAGGAAGGTATTCGTATGTGATTCTTGCTTGACCATCATGTAACTACAGCAAAATCCTATTACAACAAACTTATAACTGTTGTAAGGACTTGCGAAATTGTTTACTGATTAATTTATTAATATATTTTCAAAATAAATCACTAAAAAAAGTTTAAAGTTAAACATGCACATTGGCAGTATCTTGATTTTTTGTCTTTTTCAGGTTATTTACTCATGTTTGAAAAGCTCAGTAATATCGGAATCAATTACTTTCTTGAATATAAAGTAATGTACCGCATTTAATTTTTCTTTTCAAACGACTGATACCAAAATAGAGAAGCCATGTCGGAATCAACTCACGCATAATTGCAGTTGGGCTGCTGGCACACAAATGGACGCGTGGTGTTGTGTCGAAACAGGTAATGGTTGGCCATGGCCGATGGCGACGACAGCGTCAAGTGACACACGCTGCAGCAGTAGAGGTTGATGTGGCGGCGGGCGTGGTCTCGCAGGATACGCTCCGACGGAAAGCACTTGAAACAGTGGCGACACTTGTGCTCCGCCGACGTCGGGGCCTGGCGGCGGGCGTGCTCCCGCAGTTTCGACCGGCTGGCCAGGGCCAGGCCACAGGACGGACACGAAACGGTTTTCTCGCCGCTGTGTTTCCGCAGGTGCTCTACGAGTTTTGACCAGGTTTTACACTCCGTTCCGCTGTCACACTCTGCCAAAAAATGTGCACACTGTACATTCGTGCAGTACTTGGTGTCATTCCCTCGCTACTGCAGACCACACAAAAATGTCCGCTTAAAGGCAAGTTGCGAACTTCATACGGCAGAGTATTTCAAAATTTTGTCAAAAGAAGGTGAAAATATGTGAAAAGTGACGCAAAAATCTTGGCATCGGAAAAAAATGTTTTCAAAACGTGGGAAAAGAAAAAATTTTTGCATAATTTTCAGTTGGGTGCAATTCTTCCAAAAAATTAATTTTGTCAAGGAAAAATATTCAAGCCGCACTAGTCGAATATTTTGAAGTCGTGACATTACATTACATCAATGAAAATTTCAAGACTTAACAGTTCAGGAAAATTTTAAAGACGTAAGTGAGAATACAAATACCGTAAATGTACAGTTGCATCCAGTAATTTTTGAAAATTAATGAAACATATTTAAATATAAACGCAGACATGAACTTGAACAAAAAGCTCTCGTAAAATGGTGGGAACTTCTTTTTTCTTTGCAGAAATTTCAAAAAGAAATCAAAGCGTCCAGCAGGAATCAGTCCTGAAACCTTTTTACACAATCTTGGAATTTCATGCTCACCAGCCCAAAGACACGGAATCGGTGGAGGATCGTTGCGGACCTGATGGGCATGCCAACGCATGTGAGCAAAAAATGTCAGGATGTTGTCAAATTTAGCAGAGCAGTCGTCCCAACGACATTTCCACGGGTCTTCACAATCCAGCAAGAGCATCGCGGCTTTCACATACGGCTTCTTACAGACTAACGACTGATGAGAATTGAAAGAAAAATGTGTTTCGAACATGAGTTTACACAGTATTCCATCATATTTACGTGTTTTTTTCTGTTGTTTCTAGAATCATGAATTTGTGAATATTTTACTGACCGAAACCTTGATAATTTTTCTACGGAGCCAAGGCAATTTCGGCATACATTTTTTAAAAACGCTGGTTGTGAAGAATTTCGGGATTATTTCAGTTCATTTTCTTAAAATTCTGCATAAACTATTTTCTTCACCAATTTAACACCAGTGGTTGATTTTATTTTCTGCTTCCTGGTCAGTCATAGTTTAAAAATCAGGACGGTTGAAAGTTTTTTTTTTTCACAAATATACCGCAGATATTTTTTTTTGTATGCGCTAGAAAGGAAATAATTGAGACTAATACGGTAATTCGGAATGATCTGATAATTCAAGAATTATCAGCTACACGAGTTTCTTCTTGAAATAAATCGGACTGCGATCGAGTTTTTGAGGGTTTGGCAACGATAAACCAACATTTTCTGCATATCTTCACATCCTTGAGTTAATACATTCGTCGGATAGTGGAATTTCCATCAGTAAAGATCAATTCCATCAACTGAGGGAACACTTGAATTCTAGTCGTAACTTGTAATTCCACGCACAAATTGATGCAAAACACTCACTCCACTGCCTAGTTTGTTACAAAACTCGAGTCCCTGTGAGTGCAGCCACACAACGTAAGCATGAAGGGACAAATGACGGGCAAGTCTCTGTCTGTTGTTGAACCGAGGTCCTTCTCGATCTTCATTTGTTGGGCATCCGATCCAATTACATTCTCCAGTGTCCTCGCCTTCTTCAAATGAATGGCTTATCACATGTTTGCTGAAGGTCTCTGAACTAGAGTTTTCCTTTGCTGGACATTCGCAACCTTCCCAAGAACACACCAAAGATTTCTCTTTCATCGGACACCCTGTTCCCGCGCGAGATCCTTTCATTATCTGAGGGTGAAAATATTTTCAACAGAAGATCAATTTGTCGAGAGTTCGGAAGTGCATTCATTGCAGCGCTGTTAAAAAGAAACCAGAGGGATCTTTTCCAACTTGTCGTTCTTCTTTTCATGAGGCGATTAGACTTTGAAGTTCATAAATTCATACGCATTAAAAAACTGTTTTCTTTCGATAAACAACTGCAATGCTGTGGGTAATCTTAGCGCATTGAAGATAATATTTTCCAAAAATCTCGGTAGTTGCGTCCTGCCATTCGTTTACCTCTCGAAGAATACAGGGTGAGTATCAGTTACGACAACATAAAAAATCATTCTTCTGTAAATGAAAATATTTTAAAAGCCAAGTAGATCTGCAAAAAGGGACAAAAATCTGCAGTGTTATCCTTTGGAATCAGACTGCATTTTAAAAGTTGTAATTAATGTTTGAAAAAAATGACAACAGATGAATACCAGAGCGGCTTCAAATTCCTTGTATCAGTATTCCGAAATGAATACCTCAGGGACCCTAGTTTTCAAGTCAAAATAAAAAAAAAACTGCACACCAGCCTTGAAGCAACCCTCTGTTCATTTAATAAAAATTGTTTCTGCATCAGACTTCATTTGCGCTATATCTCAGTCTAACATCAAAAATTTAGGGAACACAATTTTTTTTTGGAGAACAGAGTTACACTTTTATTCCTCGGAAATTATTACAGCAAAATCTCATCACAACAAAGCCATTAGGATTGGGGGGAAATTTTTTTTCTACCTGTAATTACGGTGAACAGAAAAAAAAATATTGTCGAGGCTATCGGGCAGGGACCTAAAGAAAAAGGATTTGTCGTAATCAGAATTTATTTATAATGAGATTCGTTTCAACAAGAGTCTACTATACTAATGAACAACTCGCGTCCAGCATTTGAAATAACTGGCAGCTCTTAAACATCGTGAAAATTAAAAAAAAAATGCACGTGTGATAAAAAAAAACCTTATTTTGTCTGCCGAGGTTAACTTCAACCTCATCCATCTTTCCATTTCGACACAGGCAAAAAAAATGTAAACATGCCACAATATTACCATGTGAAAATTAGGTTCATCTCTCAACTATCCAAGTAGACGACATGAGCTTATGAATCCATCTTCGTATTTATGCATTGATTTTAAGACGCCCATTTGCACGGAAAAGATCCCTGAATGAAAAAATAATAATAATGTTCACAGCCCGCGGACGTTCGGGTTCACCCCCGGTAGTTCTTTATTATAACTATGCCAAGTAAAAGCAAGCACCCCGTCGGTCGGAATCGCCTCTGCAAAAATAAAACAGCACTTGATCCACGAGGAAGACGCAGAAAAACTATTCCCGTCCGAAGAATGCATCCGACACGGGAGCCCGGCCGCCGGACACGAGACACAACGCCGTGCGAATATGCGCAGGCAGTAGAAGGACAGGAGTTTCCTCAACAAGATCTGCCTGGACTATAAGCAACACGCAAAGCGTTATGAAAGACACAAAAAAAAACAGTTGCAATTTCTATGGACGTAGACAAATTCAAATGGAATCCCCAAAGCATATGCCACCTCACTCATCGTTCGCGTTAATTATTCAACGTCACAGGGATCGGGTCAGCTACAAATCAAGGTTGGAGATTTAAATCGTCGTTTCAAATTTTCAAATCAAGATCTTTCACCAACAAGTGTTATACTTTCTATTCGTTCACATCGCTAAAAATACTTTATCTGAAAATATACTAAAATTATCATTTATAAAAAGTCTCCGAGTTCGAACGAGAAAAAATGTAAAAATTTCCCGAGTGGCTAAAAACGCTCCTTTTCGTAATTAATTATTAATGCGAATTATTTAATCTGCACAAAGATCATACACTGAAAAGATAAATCTTGGGAGTAAAGTTTACCCCAAGGATTCAGCATCAGATTGTGCACTACAATACTACATTATTTCATCTGATTAATCCCAAGCGTGAAGACTCGAATACTCAGTGATGTCCTCATGGCAAGATTCATGTCAGCATAAATCCTGTAAATTAAAAAAAGTAAGAGAATAATTCACGTGCCTGGAGGTAAAGGCCTCATGCCAACGAAGTGCTGTTTGAAGACATCCAGGAAGACAAGTGGTAAACTCTAAGCTCAACCTGTACCCAGACGTCGCAAACTTTCTAGCATAGGCCATAACCGATATTTCAGAAGCACTTCAGAGCGCAAAAAAATGATCTCATACACGCGTTCATACGGCATCTTCTTTTTTTTAAGACGAAATAATTCATGCAAGATGAATAAGAAACATAAAAGCAAGAGGTAGACCAAGAACCTGAGAACGAGTATCAAATTACTGTACTGTACTACATTTTTAAAAGTGGGCATTTGAACCTCCAACCTTTTTATGCAAAGCAGCCTTCATCCCGTCTCACAGCACACATATGGGGAGGGGGAATTGTACCGAATGAAAATAAAAAAGACGAGTTTTTTTTTTCAAGAAAGGAACAGGAACCCATACTCGAGTCGTACAAAAGAAGTCTAATCGGGAGAGGCATCCCGGGAAGTAACAGATGCTCGTCCGAACGGGTTTCCCGGTAACATGCCCTTAATGTGGTGTGACGCGTATTTCCGCGTCCAGAAACGGGCTATGGATTGAAACAGACTGTTGTTTTCTTTGTAGAGACGACCAATTGCCGGTTCCATGCACACCTGGGAATATAAAATCATTGTTTAGAAACGTACCCTATTCACGAAAGTAGACCTTTGGCAATGTGGGAATTTCGGGGTAGAGCATTTCGACCATTTGTCGAAACAGGTGCACCACCCAATGGTCCATTGAAGAAAACGTTGATGTGTTGCATTAAATTTGAACTCCAGCGTCATAAAAATTATTTAAAGCCAAGAGATTGATTGGACGAATGATTTACAAAATTTAATCACACTTTATCAGTGAACAACGGAGACTCGTTGTTCACTGGTAAGTTGTTTGTATATTTATGGCGTCAACGCCATAAAAGGTTTTGTCTATGCGGAATTTGAACCGTTTGTCTTTAAAATTTGTACAATCCAAAAAGAAAGGTTGAAAAGCTAGAATCTGAAGAAGTTTTTTCCAATCATGCATACTCCTGACGGTATGCAGACACCTGTTGAAGTTGCCTTCACTCCGGAGGCAAGAACAATTCAAAGCCCATAATGGATTAATTGTCAGTAGAGCTTCGTTAAAATTGAACGAAGCACTACTCAAATTTAAGAATGCAACATTCTTGGCCATCACAGACACCTATAATATAACTATGTTTTGACTAGTCACACAACTCACACCAAGACCAGTTGGTGTCTGGTTTGATGCAACCAGTCAACAACTGGCTGAGCTAGATCACAATCAGAACATCCTCTGTTCGCCCCCTACCAAAGTTCCTTCGCCCTTCTGTCTGTTGGACAAAAAATTCCCGGGACATTGGACGAAGACCCCCGACCCCAATGCATTAAGAACTGGTTGCCCAAGACCCTGATTTTTTATGAGTAGGCACTCCTCAATCACTGAACCAGGATTCAGAGTAAAATGATACTCGTCCGGAAGACGAAACTTGTATCAAAACGCAACTTATTCCGATAAACCATCAAGCTAAATTTTGGGAGATTTGTTTTCATTCCCAAAAAGTCGACTTCAAGTCATAGCGGAGTCCACAGAATTCCAAATCTAAAGGTTAAACACATTTGCTTGAGCTGGTACAACATTGAAAAATTTCAAAAATGTTCAAGTCCACGTGTGAGTCACGCTCGATTTTAATGGGACAACTAAACCAATTTTGAGAACAAATATTTTTTAATTCAAAATTATTTAAATTTTGTCCAATTTGAGTAATAATTTAAATTTTTATGCTTTCAACTTCCAAAATATAGAAGCATTTCTGCCACTAAAAATGAGGTGCATGTCTTACTATGTATAGATGCTATGTATAGATTTTTATCCAAATTTTAGGATTCGAAAATCGGGTGTTCCTCCAACTTGAGGGAACGTGTTACTCGAGTAAAAACAAAAATATACAGGATCCCCTCACAGTATTCACAGAAAATTCGGACAATACAGTCAGATCCCTGCTATCTCGGAAAAAACAAGTTGACTCACCTCCGTGTAGGGATCAGTGAAAATGCTCTGGATGGACAAGAGGACGGTGGAAATGGAGAGCGCTACTGTCCAATTGTGCCGAATGCAGTCCACGCCAATGTCCCCGTGCCGAGAAACGTTCGGATGAAACACCCGCGTGAGGAACCGCACAATCGGTGGCTGCAACGGATAGCACCGCGGCAACTTGATCACCAGCAAAAACGTGCCGTGCTCATAAGGAGACCCGCGAGGACCGGCCACCGACGCTTGCCACACGCTTTTGCTTGCATTGAGCGGAATGGCTTGAATGCCCTCGGTGCTTTCATACGCCAAGATCTTCATCTCCATTCGTAGTCGCGTGGACCGCCAGGTTTCTGCGCACAGGTCGTCAGAGGAGTCGCCTCCGCATGCAGCTAGTGGTGCCGACGAGGATCCTTGGGGGTGGTGGTACTGGTGGTGCTGGTGCAGACTGTGTTGCGGTTGGTGGTGTGCGTGGTGATGGTGCTGAGGCTGGCCGGGCGAACAACAACGAACACTGCCCTCTTCGGCGTCTGTTGTCGCATAAAATGTTTTCAATAATTCAGTAACGTCGCACATTTTTTAAAGGCAAATTATTAAAGACAGCTTACCCAGGTCTTTCTCATAGCAGTGGTCGTGATTCTGGGGCTTGTGTCCCCCACGGATTTCCTCACTCATTTGAAAAAGGCACTTGCGGCACGGGGAACTTTCGACTAGGGCCCCGAAAGAAGCCCACCAAAACTTGTGGAATCCTCCGCGGGACCTGGCCACGGGCCACATCCCCGACAACCGCTGCTTCCAACGCGCGTTTGACTCGCACGTGTCAAGAGCAAGCATCCCTCGCCAGGTTTGACACACCTGCAAAAAATTCGATGCATGACAACACTTACACCTGCTATCAAACAAGAACAAAGTCAATACGCTCAATTGCCACCTATTGGATTTAAGCATGAGTTTCCAGTGTTGAGATTTACTTCACAACTACAAGTAAAAAAAAAAAAAAAAAAAAAAAAAAAAAACAAAAAAAAAAAAAAAAAAAAAAAAAAAAAAAAAAAAAACAGAACAAAAAAGAAAAAAAAAAGACGAGAAAAAAAATTAGAGCATTACCAGTTTTTGAACTGAAACTAATCTAATTTGTCCATTGAAGATTTTGAGAAATTTTTCGGCGAAACTAAAACACTAAAACTAATCCACACGAATTTATCCTAACAACAAAAAATACACACTCTTAATCCAGTTCATGCTCAGGATCTAAAAAAAATATGTGATGGGATTTCAAATTTAAGTTTAAATACCTCACGTACTGAAATCACGCGTAAAAATTAAATTTTAACCGACGTCGCAAATGCAAATAAAGTTAAATAAAATTTTCCGATAATTTTTCCATCCCTGAATGTGTTTTAGTATTCCCGATCATCCGTGATGTGGTACTTCATTATTTGGTTCAAGACACCCTAAAATGAGCCCGGGTAACCGATTTCCTACAATAGCCACATTTCTCAAAATTCATGAGACGTGTTCTTTTCCACAGGTGCGTTTTTGAAAGTGGCTGATAACGCACCTGACCACAGTTCCACAAGCTGAGATCGTCGAGATAGGAGAAAACCTTGGCCCAGACTTCAGGCGGAAGTGAAGGATAAGTCCCACTCGTTTCCGACATCGGACGCGGACACGTAAGCAAGGATATTTGGTCCACGAGAGAATCCGCTCGGCGATGGTTCGGATGCTTCCGGTGCTTCTTCACGATTGCCTTCGGCGTCGTCAGGACGGCGGCAGTCGGCACTTGAGAAACCGGTTGGTTCCGGAAACAAGACACGCCATACACGCAGCCACGGACAAGACGCTGTTGGTCTTGGCACGGATATGTACTTTGCTTCTGTCGCATACCGTTAAGGAAAAAAAAGGAAAATGGAATAAAATTAGATTAAATGTATCAAATTTCGTCATAAAATGAATGGTTTTCTTTTTTATTTCGATAAGAAATTTGCTTGAAACTTCAGAACTACGGTATCCGCCATTACGAAGATTATAAGCTTTCCAGCAAATATTCAGCATCAATCACAAATACTGTAGGTCATCCTGTTTTTTTTCTGATGAAACTTTTCCAAAATGAGTCGAACAAGTTAATAGTACAGAAGAAAGCTTCCAGAAAAATTCCCTGTTTTAAACCCAAACACGTCGGAATTTTGCATGCAAATAAAATCGATACAAAAAGTTACGAGGATCTATAGTTGCCAACGTCAATAAGAGGAATTGAATTTCGAAAATTACCATAGAATACATACAAAAAAAGAAAATCTGCATTCAATGAAATTTGAGTAGATGAATTAATTTTTGGGGCGACACAAGACCCGCATGCGTTCGACGTAAAATTAGAATTGCGTATTTCAATCCGCGATACTGTTATCTCAACCTGACAACCTCACTCGAGAACTTTCGAGATGCGGGCGACATGTGCGCAAAGTTTGGGGATACTGAAAACTGGTGGAAATATCGTATTGAAGTACAGTACAGTAATGTAAACATATTTTATGGAAATTGGACCCATCTCGCGAGTCCAGAATTGAAATTCAACGCAGATCCAGAAACTCCAGTACTCACAGTAGTAGAAAGTGCAGCATCCGGATCCGGTTCATCATTGCCACTGTCATCATCTTCCGGTTTGCACGCAGCACTGGACGATTCGCAAAATCCCTCCAGCTCGTCATCCGGGGTGCGCGGGTACACGAACGCGTGACAGGTGGCGCACACGGGTTCGCCAAAGTTCGGGCCATAAAACCCGGCGCAGAACCGACACGGCTCCGGTAGGGATGAATACAACCCGCGTTTCCAGGCGTCCAAAAGCTCGCTCAAGTCGTCGTCTTCCGACTCGGCCGCCTTTTTCCCGCAATCACGGCCGCCGTCTCCACACCATCCGTTACTCCCGCCGTCGGCCATGTCGGGGAAAACGAGACAAAGAAAATCGACTATCTATGACCGCAGGTAGGACGCCCCGATTCTCTGCGTTTCAATCCACCTATTAAAAGAAACACACAAAATTCAAGAAAAACAGTCAGTCAATTCTTTCTATTGAAGTTCTGGTCGCGCGATTGACAAGACAAATAAAATGTAGTACCAACAATGAATTTTCTTTTTTTTTCCAAACCTTCACCCACTTTTTTTTAAATCAAAAATGTTAGAACTCTAGAGAAGCGCCATTGAGCATTTTGACAGTCCACCGAGTGACAAAAAGGAAGTAATTAAACTGCAACAATATTTTTCATTTGCAGCATTTTGCTTAAAGTGACTTTTCTCTATCTCGGGAGGTGGAAACTTTTTCCAACGGTTGAAAGAATGGCAATTTGAATGGGAAATTAATTTAATTCCATAATTTCTATGAAACACTGGAAAAATTATAAAAAAAGAAATACGTGAATGCTTTCAACTTGAGACCATTTCTCAAGAAATATTAAAATAATGTACTTTAAAATCATGTTAAGCACAGAAGGATGCATCCTTTCCGAAAAAGAACGTATTCAGTATTCACGAAGAAGCACAGTACTGTAGTACCACTCTTCGTGAGTTATTTTCCAGTTGCGCGGAGGATTTCTTACCATTCGAAGTGACGACATACTTCGACCGACGCTTGCCCCAAAACTTTGAAAAAGGTTTGACGCAGAATCACGGAAATATGATCATCAAGCTGTGAGAAACAAGGAACTAAGAACTCACTTCACTCCGTCTAGATTCATAAAAGGTAAGAAAAATCTCTTTGCACATCACGATATCTTTTTAAAGGCACGAGGCGCAAATACGATGAAAACGAATTCGAAACACAGGTCTTTCGCATCAACAGCAAAAGTTCAAAAGTTCAAAACGTGTTTCTTTCCTCCCTGGTCTTCATTTTTTTAAACCACCATTTGTTTTTCGCTTTCCATTCCCGTTTTTCTTCCACTTAAATATAATTCCAAAATCGAATACACCAACAAACCAACCAACCAACAAGGAGGAACAATTTCAATTTCAAACGCGTGAAAAAAAAACACCTTCACTGGCCGTCGACAATCTTTTCTTTCTTTTTTTTTTGTCAGGAAGGGGGATGCATGAAACGATGGTGCACAATAAAAAAAAACGGAACGAAACCGGGAACGGAACTTGCCAGGCGTGCAAATTTATCCCCCTCTCCTGCCGTCACCATTTTTCAGTTATCCCCCACAAAATTTTGTAGCAAAAAAGCAAAAGAAACAAACATTTCCTGTAGCGAAAAAAAAAACACATTTCAACGACAACCACAGCAGGGATCTGAAAAGGTCGCCAGCACACTCACGCCCATCACCGTCCTGACTCAAATTCAACGAGATCAACAGTCAGGCCCATTTCACGCTAAGATTTGCTTGACACAAGCAGAAAGAGGAGAGGAATCGAGAGAGCTTCACGCGGTTTTTTTTTTTTACAAGATGAAAACCCGGCTCTTTCCACCCAAACGTCCAGAAAAATTCATGACAGCGAACAGATACGATCACGCATAAATTCGTAGCCTGAAGCAATAAATTCTGGTATTCGTGTAACGTAACTGACTCATTAATTCTGGAATAAAATCTTTAATATGGACTACTCAATACTTGGGTTGCATGGAAATTAATCATAGTTACCAGCATTAAGGTCCCAGAGGGAATGTTCTATTTTTATCCCTTACGTGGAGAAAATATTTCAACAGTCTGAGGATCAAAGATTCAACATACAGTACTTGCATAATTCGCAACAATATGACAGGACACAGACATCCTCCAATTCCATGAAGGTATTGTACTCATCAGAAACCAAAAATTTCCTCGCACTCACAATGACATTTATTCATTTTATTCAACAGCAAACGAAACACAGCAAAATTTTACTGCTGTGTGGTTCACAACTCAGCAAGTTTGATGAAAAATGTAATGTTTCCAATCACGAAGGTCTATTTTCTGATCTTTCAAAGAATCGTAAAGTGAAAAATTTTATACTTTTTTTCTGAGCACCATGGAATTTTGGACATGGATCGAAAATTTCTTCGAACTCCTACATACACTATGTGGAGCATAATTTGAACTGCCTCGTGATAGAATTTCATGTGGTTTTGAAAATTATTGCCGCCATTTTCATTCATAATTAAAATTTTCCATTTGCGCAGACCACTCTTCCATAACAAGTTCTCTGATGACAATACTGTCCAGCATTCCCGGCAAGCAACCATTCGCAGCTTGTCACACAACATGGAATGATAACATTTCAAGGTTTCAAAAATTCTAAAATTTTCAATGATCACTTCGCAACACGATTTGTCGTTGAAAAGTGGCGCAAGATTTTGTGGCATAAATTTAGAAAACCTCTCGGTTCTCAATCGAAAGCAAAAAATTGCCACTTTTCTTCAAACACAGGTTTTCGATGTACGTAAATGGACAGAGCGGTTTAAATAAAAGGGCTTCCAAAACCACATGAAAACTCATCGGACAACATTTCGAAGCATTTCTCTCTTTCTTGAGAACACTCAGGGAACATCTCAAGGCATCAGGCGATGACATCGTAGGTATAGAAATACACATTGAGAATATTTGAGTCGCATGCCTTCTAGTCAAGCCACGTCGAATAATCAGACTGATGAGCGTAATTCACCAAAAGCAAGCAAACTTGGACGTCCGGGCAGAGAGAAACCGATGAGCACTAAAAGTGCGGTGAAATGACTAGAATTCTTCCAGACTAATCCAACAGTCCAAAACAAAACATGATGCCTCTCGCATCACACTGGCCTTCGTCAGTCTTCTTCCCGATGCCCAACCGTCGGCTCAAGCTTCGAGGGTGCACGGACACACATATAAGCGGTAATTATTCGAGCCAAGAATAAACGGTATTCAAGGGGTAAAAAAGACAAGGTAAAAATGGTAATTTTCTGGATACACACCAAGCAACACAGCAACACATCTTTCGTCAAGGAATAATATTCTGGAGTTCAGCCGATAAATGCTAAAATATCTGAGCAAACGGAAGTAAGCGACGTTTAGAAGCTCGAAGAAAGCTCACAACTGCTCAACTATTTTTGCCAACTAGAAAATCATACACATTCAACATTTCTCAAAAGAATCGCCACCGAGTGTCCCTTTTTCAGTTTCCACAACAGCGGCTTTACATTCAAATTCATGCCTTTTTTGGGAATGAGAAGATCATGAAGATGTGCACTTCGCACCCAAAATTGACTTACGAAGAAGCGTTTCTTCGTCAAAAAGTTTTCTCAAGAAACTTTAATGAGTGTCTAACAAAAATGAACGCTTGAGAAGATTATTGCTTTGAACAAAAGCGTCAATTAATTTCAAAATTTTTGAACTCATGCGAGCTTGTTAACCAAAAAAAAAGAGGCATGAGCAAGGTTGATGAACATTTCATGGTTTTCTTCGAATTTCTAAACGTTCTTGCGCATATTCAGTACAATATAAAATTGGTAACATTTAATTTGAACTTGATGACACAATTGTAAATTCCTGTTGGAGTAGTGGTAACTTTCTGACATCAATTCTCAACACCAAAATCCAAAACTTTCCAAATTGTCATCGATTTCAATAGGAAAACTAGCAGCGTGTTCCAGATACTATTGATCCCTCGGAAAGATCTGTCATCCGTTTATCAAGGCGGAAAATTTTGTACCAAACTCGCGACTCCACTCATGAACAGCAAACGTTTTCCTGTTGCGCAGGAAGGAATGTGCAGCATTGCTTGCTGCGTACCCAGCAGAATGCCCTTCAATACATTTATGCCACCAAAAGAAAAACAAAAACAAAAGTTGAACCTACAAATCCCGTTCCGGATACTCAGTGGCGGTCCCATCGGAAATGGTCTTCCGTGGCGGCATCGGTCAAGTTGTTCTCAGGGTTCATCAGCAACTGCAACCCGTCCACGTCGAGGGGAACCAGATCCGCACAAATGGCATCCTCCGAACCGTAGTCCAGGCCGAAGATGTCCGACAGGTCCTGAGGCAGGTCTGCCTCGTCTTCCAGTCCGGTCACGTGAGATGGGATGGTCGGTGAAACGTTCAGAGGCTCCAATGAATCGGATGGAGCTGTGAAGCAGAAGGATACCACAAATACAACAACAATCGATAAACATCAATTTTAAAAAATTTATCACGCAACATTTATCTCAACAACGATTCAAATCTCAGAGTAACGCATTGAAACAATACTGATTAAAGTATAGGCAATCAATAAAAAATTAACATATAGACGTACAATAAGACTTTTTAATTGAAGAATCATTTTAAAATTACTGAGGCTACCTCAGGTGTGACCAAGACCTTTTCAAAAGGTATTCCATGAGTCTTTGAACTTCGAAGGAATAATTTTGTATTCCCCAAGAAAATTAAAATTTACTGTGTCGCGTAATTTCTCCATTTTTTTCTTCGAAGAAGTGTGCCATCGGATATTCACAAAAAGCGTAAAATCAACATCAAAATCATCACTTGACGGCTCGAACACAAATCGTCAAAGTTTCTCCATTCAAAAATTAATAATAAATAGCTGCGCTCTCTTATTTTTCCGAGTGCTGCTTTTTCTCATGAAATCGCCCCTCCGATTCCAACTTCCATACAGTATTACTGTTCGTTTTCCCACATTTTCTCTCCAACATCCTTTTTAAAGTAGATTTTCTCGCCACTCACTTCAAGAAAGAAAATACACTCACCAGTTAGCGTGATAACGATTCCGTGGTTGGAAGACGGTTGATGATGTTGAGCGTTGTTTGTAACATCGATATTATGACGCAGGAAAGGACTGAATCCATCCGCAATTGACACCTCCACCGAACCGTTCGTATTCGTCACGATCTGAAATTTTAGAGTTAAGTTTCGAATAAAATTAAAAAATTAGCGTCATTATTCTTCGACCTTGAAAAATCCGACAGAAAAGTGAAACACAATCATTAAAGTCGCAAAATACAGTTCGAACTAAAATGATTTCATCCAAGAATATCACCGCATTGTTAGCCCTTAACGCATTTCTTCAGAAGTGATCAACAAAAACACGTAAATTAAAGCCAACTGAAGTAAAAAAAAAGTAAAAAAGGAAATACAATGCGACACAGCACATTAGTGAAACTTACCGCCGGCACAGTAGAAGTTACTATCGTTGGTTGTACACCGGTCACAGATACTCCAGTTGAACTATCAATCTGGAATAAAAATCCAAATGGGCTCCTTCATTTCTGAGTCAATCGTACGCACAAAACAGGTTTAGTCGATGAGAGTTCTCCAATGCGCGAGTGAACGCTTAGAATACTTCTTTAAAACTCCCGATACAATCATCAGGACTGACTAATCGCGGAAAATGTTGACTCGTTTCGTGAAAATGGATCCATCAAATGCTTACGAACGCAAAAAGGATCTCTAAAAAAAACTAGAATATCCGAACAAGACACGATCTGATTTTTCATTTTTTCGTGAAACATATTCCGCAAAAAGCTTTGTGAAAAAAAGATGCACTTATTCGCAAAAAATGTACAAGATAAAAAGTACTGTATTAAGATTTGTCTGGAAAAGGCACTAAATGGTACCTTATATTAAGCAGAGTCTTAAATTCAATAGCATTTCGTATCCAAGGTGAAGTATACTTTCAAAATACAGTCCAGTGTTTCAATTTTCAAGCTCTATAACTGGGGTGCGCATCTTAATCAGGGATACATTTTCATGAAATATTAGCTGAAAGACAGCAGGTGCAAGTCTCACTCGAGGGCGCGTGGCTGCCGTGGCATTCAAGTAATTATGATACTGTACAATACAGTATATCCGCGTGTGAAAACCTGCTCTTCATCACTCAAAAAAAAATCACAAACCGAAAGAAAACCCCGTTATTATTCAAGTATCATCGTCTTCTTCATTAAAAAATTCCCTTCTTCTCAATGCACAGAGTTGTTTTCCTATACTGCAATTATTGCTCGAAGACAGAGCATCAACATTAGTCACGTGAAAGGGGCGTTTCAGTGCGCAGCCAAAAAAAATAAATAAAAAAAGTCCCCGAGGAGAAGTATGGTAAACACACAGAGCTCCATGCAAACAAGACCACTCGCTCACTTACCATGTTAATGAGCTGTAACCGCCGCAGCACGTTTTGCGTTTGCTCCGGGGAAGTCGCGGGCTTGGCAAACGCGTCGACGCACACATTCTGCAACGGGCCCATGAGTTCGCTGACGAACAAGGCCTGAGAGCAGGGCTGCGGCGACGCCTCCGACGGACTCGCCGGCGCAGACTGGGCGTTCCCGCAGCTGCCGGGGCTGTTGCTGCCCTGCCGGGCCACGCTGCTGCTCACCAGCGGTATCTGTGAAAAACAGGACGTTTTTTTTTTTTTGGTCAAGAGGCTCACCTTGGCCACCATCCGTCCTCCTCGAAAGTACCCCCCACCCACCCCTTTTTTCTTCGTAATCCGCTTTGGGCCTTGGCAAATCAACACCCAACGTCTCTGATCATGCTTTCATCGTAGTCTCATAGAATTCACCCAAATTCCATCAGATTCGACTCAATGGATCATTTATATGGACAGTTCAAACGATTTATGCATTTTTTCAAGTATTAATAAATTCAGGAGGCACTCGATGCGTAAGTAATTAATCTCGAGCGCTAAATTTAAAATATTATGATCTTTTCCGAAATGAAAAATAATAATGAGATTTTTTTCTTGCGATTCCCAGCGAGTAAAAAATTTGAATAAATAAAATGAAAAGGAAAATATCTTGCCAGCGCATTCTGTGTGATAACCTTGTTCTTTTCGGCCTCGAAACAATCATCTAAAGCTCACGTTTTCAAAAAATATTATTTGCTCAATTTTAAGATTGTTTTTCAATTTCCTCGTGAAGAGCACAACGTTCACGCTTTGTGGAACAGTTTACGTCGGAATTTGAATACACGATTAGGATTACTGTATTTTGTTTGCAACTCTTCAAATTTCGTTAGGCGGTAATTTACTGAATTTCCAAGCAATTTAAAGGTAAAATAATTCATATACTATTTGAAAATCGAATTTTGGCCACAACACGGATCTATTGAACCATATTCAAGTCCGCATACTTATACTTTCAAAGGTTACAATTATTTTAAAGAAAAACTGGAAAAACGCATGATATCCTCGATTATCGGAGTTGAGTAGGAAAACCCAACCACCGGCACACTGAGTGCTCCCCCGCAGAAAATAAATTTGCACAGAAATAAGTCGACGCTTCAAGAGCCAGATTGCAAAAATATACGTCGACTTACCAACTACACACTATGAACATAGAACCGACACAGGAGGACGAAGACATAAAACCAATCACCGAATACATTTAAAAATCCCCGTGACAATCCCGAAATTAAAAGAGATTGACGAATAAATACTGTGCACGAAGATACTACCCATGCATCGGCGAGTAATGAACAAAATAAGTTCCCAAAGCACTACGATTCTTCAACTTCGGGAGTACGTTTTTTGTTTTAATAAAAAATTTTCATTTTGGGGAGGGACGAATTGAAGAAGTTGAAGAATTTTTAATTTTGAAGCTCAATGATACTATACATGGAAAGCCAGTTTACGTTAACCACCGCGAGGGTTATCTGGTTTCCGTGTGAAGTCAGGGAACAGTTTTTCGATTGCTCAAGTGTCGTTTCATGATTTATTCGACAACTTTAAAGGTTTTGAGCCATTTATAACAAAACTCAGGTGCACACAAAAAATTTAAAAAATGAAATTGTATTTTTATTTTCAAAGCAAGGAAAGAAGAATGCAGGAAAATTAATTGAGTGCGTGGGTGACAAGATTTTTCTCTCTGTTTTCACGTTACTTTATCAGGTAAATCGGACGCATTATTTCAATTTTGACAATGAAGAAAAATGTTCCTTCTAAAAATTTGTTTCAAGGTTCAAAATTGTCGTAGTAGAATATTTTAAATGGAACCAGGCAATCTCGGGGTTTTCATGAACATTCTATCATCACTATGCTTTAACCGAGAATTGTGCCTCCGGAATCGGTGCTTCTCTTGAAATAGAGGCTCGTTAGTACTCGACTACGGAACTGTCAATAAATGAAGAACGGGGAGAGGAGATGATTTCAGGGATCTCACACTGGTCCAGCATTCACCTGATTGCACCCCGCTGCAGAGCCTGGGATCGGAATGGGACTCGATGTCGTTTCAGACCGCTGGACCCAACCGGGAAAACTATCCGCGCCCCAATCATCCTTTGAAGACAACCGCGGGACCCCCAACAGGATCAATTTCCGATCCGTTGGCTCAATAACACGATCAAACGCCGATTTTAAACGAGTTTCAGATGAGTGGATCACGACTCGATTCAAGACAAGGCAGTTCATTCAGTTATTTTTTTACATGGCACTAGACAATTTTTCTTTCTTGAATTACCATCGCCTCTGCTCAATGTATATCATCCTCGAGAATAGGAAATAAAATCTGACATTCACACACGGGAACATTTTTAAAACTGCTCATACTGTATCAATCCAAAAGGACATCAACTCCCTTACTCAAAAATTAAATTCGTAAAATCGAAGTTCAACTCGAGCTGTTTTCATGAGAAATTTCATGAGCAAATTAAGCTCCTGCTTTGAACAAGAGGATCAATTACTGTACTTGAACAAAAATATATATAGATTGAGATTGCATAACTCTATTCAACGAAACTAAATATTTTTTGACATGGTACGAAGTTTTAATTTTACCCGTGTTGACAGTCGAATTTTGGCTATACTGCACAGCGCTGCGAAAATGATTTTGATCGTCAAAACAAAGAAAATCTTATGTAAGAAGAGCTATTGTAGAATCAGATATTGGGAATTACACACAAATGAATTCCAAGACCGCAATTCTTCAAAACAAAATTTTTGGAGCAACAGGTGTCTCAAGTGCAATACAGTAGTGTTAGTGTACAGTACTGTACTTGCACTAAAAGACTGAAAATATTACAAAAAAGTCGAAAAATCGGTGGGGAGAACACATTTTTCCGACGAATACTACTGTATTAGCAGCATGAAAGTTTCGGTAATGATATTTTTACGATGGCAGTAGTTTTACCAGGAAACGTACGTTATTACAAATCAACCCAGAACAAATACTGTACCATACTATGCGTCTACGAAAAAATTACCTCAAGTCTATGAAATATCTCACAAGATTTTTCCAAGTGGATATTCCAAAAGAGTAAAAAAAAATAAAAATAATAATTTCACTTTATTCTTTTGAGAGGGTGATACTCCTGCGAAATTCTTTGAAAGGATCTAAAATTACGCCATGACATAATACAGTTCTTCTAAAAAAAATGAAAAAAAAATTCTGAGGCATTTACCAACAAATCCAAGAAAATGGAAAACAAAAAGGGCAATTCACCAATTTTCTTCAAGAAAAAAACCGTCGTGCCTTGAAAATTTCTATTTTAACGTTTCCGCGTGACCCACAGATCTGGACTCGCCAATTTGCTCGATTTCTCACCTGGTCCACCGTTGTATCTGCAAGTCCGCGGTACTTGAAAAACTTAGCATGATTTGATAACGTCCCGTCGGGCTCAAAGGTATTGCCCATTCCGAACAACGAGCAATCCACGCCCTGGTCCTCAAAACTACCATCAATGCCCTAGTAACAAAGGATACACAACAACACAAGAAAAAATACAAGAAAACATGAACACAATCGACTAATCTAAGCGTGCGTTCAAGTTTCATGCAACTCAACCGAATAAGGAAAGAAATTCTAACCCATCATACAATTTTATAATAGCAAATTTGACAGAGCAAACATATGAGCTAATATTTTAACAGTTCAGGCAACTCTGATTAGCATTCATAAATATAAATCAGCAGTCGAAGAGACCACAGGCTTGAAAAGCAGAAGTATTGACGATTTTTCATGCCACAAGTAAATTATTTATTTATTTTTCGGTACGTTAAAATTTTCCGATTTTGTATAGATAATCCCACTGTAGTGTAGAAGCTTGAATCGCCCATGACGGTAAGCAAGCAGCAACCATAAATTGAGCAGTGCAGAATCAAAGATAAATGTACATTTCTTCTCGTGTACCTCGACGTACACAAATTGCTCTTTTAAACTTTGAATTTCTCACCGATCCAATTGTTAATCAAATTAATAGACCCTCAGAAACTTTGATATTTTTGTCCATAAAAATGATATCAGGGCTAGTAGTTCCAAAGATCTGTTCGGGGAGAGTATTACTACTACAGGTACAGTATCTGCTAAATTTTCCCAAAATATATTTTTCAGTTTCCATAAAAGTACTGTAATGATGAATTTTGCTGACACTTCAATTAATACTACGCATTCGAAAAATTTTTGCGGGGTTCGCGTTTTCTCAGCACCACATGAATGGTTTTCGTTTGTTTAAAATTGATCCCAATGTTTCACCAAATTAGCAACCCTTTTAGGGGCCCCAAAACATGCATTTAAAATTGTCTTTCATTTTCCCTCAAAAATTACAGGAAAAATAAGAGAAAAAAAACTCGTACTCACAGCAGTAGGTTGACTAAACTTCCGACTCGCAACATCAGACCGAGATGCAACGCGGTATACGGCCGTTTCCGAGCCCATCGACAACGGAGGAATGTGCATAACGTTGAGATCCGGCAAAGAACCAGACGGTGAGGTCGACGAGTCCGGCGCGAGCTTCATTGGATCGTCGGCGCCGCAGCCAACACTATTCGGAGAAAATTGGGAAAGAATTTTGAAAAAAATGTACATTATAGAGATCGCAATGCTTTAATCCAGCCTAAAACATTTAAAAGTTAATTGAAGTCAAGTACGAAGAAGTCGAGTAGTGAAAACGTACAGCGGTATTGAAAAGATTGCAATATTTTCATGAAGCATAAGACCGATCACGATTTTCCTTCCCAATCAAAATTTCACTCAATTTTTGGGATGTGTATCGGTCGCAAATTTCAAGCAGTACGGTGAAAAATGTGCTAACAGAACCGAGGCCGTTTTTTTCGCATTTAAAATCTTCCAATTGCATGAAATACTGTATTATGACGCATTAATTTCAAATCCTACACGAAAACTCACATTCCGGTACAGATTTGTCATCGGCCCGAGATCTATGAATTCATAATTTGTTTGTTGACAATTGAATACATTACATTCATTGTTGATCGAAAATAAAAATATCGTTCGTGAATAGAACTGTTTATTGGGTTTCATGTATCGTTCATAATATTCTTCAGAAAATTGAATTTTTAAAAATAAAAAGTTTGTGCAAGACTATCAAAGAGGCTGAAAATAGGGAATGAATAATGTACTGTACAGTACTGTACTTAAAATTGAGATTTCGTTCACGTCGATGAACGAAGTTGAAAAAGCAAATTTCAGAATCGTTTCTTTTTTATCATTTTCACACCTACAAATAATCCCTGCACGGACCTGTTTTTCAGCGGAAATCGACTCGAGCTGGGAAATAAAGAGGAAACCATACTTCCTTCAGAAAAAAAATCTAGAAAAATCGAAATCTCACCTCAACACCAAGCGAGGAGATTCCCTACGAAGTTGATGAATCGTCGGCTTCACGTCAGCGTCGGCATCCAGGCTCAGCGGATGACAGGTTATGGATATGCTTCCAGGACTCACTTCATATCCTACCGCAAAAAGGAGGGAATCAATTACAGCATGACGTCCTTTCATTTCAGAACGTTTTCTGGTTTATGCAGTTGAGTATTACAGTCAACTCTCAATTTATAGCCTGCTTCCTTAGTGCCGAGATGATTGTAACGGATGGTGGCAATAAATTGAGGGCATCGTATAAAGGTACCAGCATAATCGTGAAGATTTGTTCAGGTGGAATCTGTGGCGCAAAGAGAGGGTGGCATTCTAGGGGCTCTAAATTGAGGGTTGACTGTACGCTACTTGAAATGGGTAAAATAATACAGTACATGTAGACTCTCTCTACAACAATTTTGCCTATACAGCAATTTTTTACCCCACACTACGATTTTCTTTTGTCACATAGGCATACGGGTTCTCTGCAACGATTTTGTTTCTGGTCCTCTAAATTCCGTTGCAGAGAAAGTCCACCTGCAATACGTAACTTTTGATAATACAGCTATAAAACATCTCAAAGCACGTGAAGCAATATTTTTTCCTGAGTGAAAATCAATCTTGTCAGTTGTCTCTAATCATATTCACATCATCTTGAGCACTTTTCCTCTGTAAAAAAAATATGTTGAAGGGTCGCAGTGACCATGATGTACCAATTGGATAGATAAAGTAATTTACCATTTTGTTCAAAAGCAATTGAATACTGTATATTGAATTTAATTTTACTCTATAGCTACATTCAGCAGTTCAGCTTCATCAGTTTTTGCAATATCGTTCTCCCAAAATCAGTAAACATTTTACTAGAAGGCGTAAACAAATTTCAAAGATGAAGAAAAACCAAAATAACATCCTCACACAGATAAAGATGGACTCTCTCTACAATTATATCTTCTGCATAACGAATTTTTGGTCCCATAGGGTTCTCTGACTACGTTATAGGGGTTCTCTACTAGGAAATTATTTCTACAAATAATTTTTTTGGTCCCTTGAATTTCGTTGCAGAGAGATTCAACCTGTGGATACAGTAGTTAAAATAAGCTGGAATATGCAGCGGTTGATTTTTTTTCTACTCTGGTTCACATCTTTCACTCACATGAGTGAATTTAAGAAAAGTAGCTCAAAAATAAACTCTTACGACGCATTTCTGAACATGATCATCAAGAATGCCGGGTGCTGTACGCACCTGGGGGATTTTGTTGGCAGGGCGGTGACGGCAAAGACGGGGAGACAGACGTGGGGGAGGAATTAGTATTGTCCTGCAACGGACTCCTGTTCATCCCGTCGTCAACGAAGGCATTCATGGCACAATGCGCGATGAAGACGGGATGCGAGTTGTCCGGTCCGACGACGCTTTGGTGAAGGGCAGAATCAGAGTTAGTGCGCCGCCAAAAGTCGCCAAACTGAGGCGGGGGTGAAAGAAACGAAGGCGCCTTTTCCGCGCTCGTCGACATGATTGATGAGCCAGACACGATGTTGGACAGTGGGATCCCGGCGGACGACGCGGCGGCGGACTCGGAATTCCGAGAATAGGGCCAGTTGAGAGTGCCGCTTCCGCCGGGGCCGGCGGCACGCATCAACGAATGCCGCGACGACGCCGGGGAAACTCCGCTGTTTTTCTTTTCGCGAGGTCGGCAGGGCCCCCCGACGTCTGGCCTAACGTCCACTCCTCCGTAAGCTTGATCGAAGCATCCGAAGGGTATCTTTTAGAATAAAAAATGCTTGAATTGTCATTTCAACGGACTGGTAAATATGTAGACAGTGGAACTACAATCAATCATGCAGCGCTTCAACTAAATCGGCAGGCGATTAAACTTGAATTTAAATTCATCGAAAGGAAAAAAGCTGTCCTTTTGTATTGACCTCCACACATCAAACTTTCAACTTGAACCGCTTTAGCTGAATAACCATCTAAAAAATAATAATTCGCGAAGATTTTTCAACATTTCGGTCATACGATTTGTTATAGGGAATTTTAAAAATATATAGTACTTCCAATTAAAATGTTTACACGATACTGCAGAAAAAATCCATTCACTGGCTAGTTTAGGCAGCCTTCTCATTGAAAGGATTACTCATATGATAATAGTTACATTTCAAAAATCGCGGTTCAAGTTTTACTAGTGCTATCTCATGTCAGGCAACTGAAAAGTTTCAAATGAATAATTTTTTCAATTCAGAAACCATCAGTACTTCAATTACTTCCGGAAGCTTTTACTTCAAATACGATCAGTACTGTAGCTCAATATTCTCCAACAAAAAACACGTAACGAGAAGTGATGAACGACGAAGAACTCGTAACAGAAATAAAAATTTCCTACACGAATGAAATCCAAAAACCCTCAAGACAATGAGACATGAGTAGAACATGGTTTTCATCTCCATTTCATTTTCCAATTTACCTGAGTATCATCCCTCGGACCATTGATCTGGTTCACATTTGGCAATGACCTTGCATAAGAGGGTGTTTGATACCGTGGATATGGTTTGCTCTGAGAAGCAAAAACAAAACAAAAAAGTTGAATTCCATCCGGTTAGATCCTAATAAATACTTGGATCATTCTAACACGCGATTAAACAATAAAATGGACAGAAAAATCGAGACGTATCTTTGGTTCAACGTTCAAAATTTTCACATACCGCATCACAGAGTATAAAATAAAAAATTGTGCCGTGGTCTGAAAGGCCACATTTTCAATAGATACGAGGGTTCTAACAAAAGTTCTCGGAATGAAAATGAAGATGGCGTCTAATCGAGCTGAAAAAAAATTATTCTTTAGGGCAACCATATTAAATTGTCAAACTGGGCTGATTTTTTTTTGTGCCAAAGAATATGGTTGCCCTAAAGAATAATTTTTTTCCAGCTTGATTAGACGCCATCTTCATTTTCATTCCGAGAACTTTTGTTAGAACCCTCGTAATGTGCTATTGCACTTCAGAACTCATTCAAGGCCTTTCAATCAACAAAAATATGTTTAAAACATATCTGAATCAATTAAAGAAAACTGTCAAGATACACTTAAACCTTGAAGCTTACTCAGTTTTCTCTGAAGATTTTTTTTTCAAGTTACATGAGCAGTCACTCAAGCTCGCCATGGTAATTTCACTATATGATAGATACAGTTGAACCTCGTCATGTCGAAATCCAAGGGACCGGCAAAGAATTCGATTTAGGAAGGTTTTGATTTCATGAAACAACCATTTTTTCTAAAGAAGTAATAATTGAAGGAAGTTAAAATTACTGTATTATATTTTTAGCCCAAAACTGTTCTGTTAAGGAGTTGGTAAGATGTCCATTTGCTAAATTACCATAGTCTTTCAATTCCCTTCAAAAAGCATGCACACATTTTTATTGCTTTCTTTTTCCTTGGTCACAAAAACAATGACCAGAAGGCCTCCAGAAAATTCGACTCATAGGTGTTTGAAAGGGGAAGGCCTTTGTGTTACGAAGGGTTTTTAATACAATGTGTCTAAGTGAAATCAGACAGGGACTTCCCCTTTGATGAGAAATCAAGATTCCTAAGGTTTGCGTTAGTGAATTAGGTAAACCTTCGAAAACTTGCCTTGGCGCTCTTCATGTCGTACATTATTTTTTCGAATGCTGCATTGCCTTCAGCCTGGCGTTGATTGTGCTGAGCAATTTTCTCGCTGAATTTTCTCGGGCTCGCCATTGTGTCACGCCCCCAGCACCATAAACTCAGAAATTTAAGATAAATCGAGCGGGTCGGCCATTGGGGCCGCAAGTCCCAAAAAAACAGTTTTCACATTTGAGCGCCTGATACAGAAGTCTTCCCCTACTTCACCAAAAAGCACGAGGTGGTACACCTGCAAAAAATTGAATGTTTCACTCTCCGCACATTTCCGAGATGTGAATATAATAAGACACTCCGAGCACCGCATACCGATCACTGTCATTTACTAAAATCTGTCGACAAAAATCAACCAATCACATCAAAGAACAATCTTGCGTCAGGCATGCAGAAGCACCTCAACATCCAAGTTTTCGCAAGGAGGAATGAAATAATTGACCACATTCACTCTAATACAAGACGCACCCCTAAAATGTTTGGCTAAGAAATGAGAGCAGCAGTGATGCTCGCAAATATGCAACTTACGTTCCATTGAACTTCCCAAGAATTAGAGTATTCGTTAGATTCTGACAGTTTCCCACTCAACAGCCTGAACTCCTTGAACAAAGGAAAAATCAAGAATTTTAAGACCAGAGCCTTAAAATGAGAATTTTAAGGCTCTGACGAACATGTCAAGTGGATTGTCAAACATTTTCGATGTACAGGCGTATTCCAAAAATTGCGTTGCTCGGAGAAAATCACGCACTGCAGCAACAAATCTCAAAGTCCACCAAAAAAGAGAAAATCGAGAGACCACTGGATGTAAGACACATGATTTCAATAAGGCAATTAAAAATCTTTTAAAAAAGAGTGCGTATCATATTATAGTGAATGGGATGCATATAAACTGGAGCACTTTGAAAATAAATCTTCCTACATTGCAGAGAGAGAATTCGAGGTAAATAACATAATCCGCAGTCCCTGATTTGCGAAACGAAAGATGGCATATTCCGCTAACTTTTCCATGCATAAAACGATTAGTTTCCGAACTTCAAAGGCACATCATCATGAATGATGAAACGTGTTCTAGTTTAAAATTTCGCGAAGAAAGGAAAATTTCGTATCGATGCTTCTTCAAACCGGGTTTATGCCATTTTTCGCTCAAGTAATGAAAAAAGATGGCAAAATATTTTAGATTCATCCTGAATTGATCCTACATCAGCAACACACAACCTATAATTTCGTCACAAAAACTCCGATTCGAATGCAAAAATGTGTGAAATTTCTGTTTGCAGGAATCACAAAAAATTATCTCTTCCAATGTGCACCATTCCAGTCAGCTCTCCACTTCAAGCAACTCGATTAGAACAAGTAGGTCCCAAGTTAGCGATCAAAGCAATGTCTCCAGAGCATTTCCTCCGTTGAAATGCTTCAAGACCAAAACAGTAACTCACACCAACAGCTTCAATAAATTGAACACATTCCAAACATAAACCACCCGATCACAGCACAGGAAGAAATCACTGCGATGGCCTGATAATGAATGTATCCTCTTCTTCAGAAGAAACGAAGTCGAAATCTGGATTCCAATCATTGGATAATTGCTGCGCAAAAAATTTTGTTTTTCACCCATGGCAACATTTATAAAATAAAATAAAAACCCTGCTCACCTCAAGATGAATAACTCGCATTTGTTTCTGATGCTTCCTATACAACGCAAGAGAAAAGAAGACGCCGAACAATATCACAAATCCGGTCCCCACTCCAAGCATTACGACGAAAAGGGATTTATCCTCGACAGCCAACGTATTGTTCTGAGCAGTGAAAAAGCTCCTTGAAAACCAATCTCACGTCAAAAATTTGATTATATAACTCACCATATGCGTAGGAGCCATGAGAGCCTCATCAACACTGTCCATCATTCGGGCAGACGAATCCTTCCCTTCCAGATATACATCAGAATCGGATGCATTACTCTGGACATTATTCGACGTTTTGGAAGGAAAGCTTTTACTCGATCCGTTGTAAAATATTGCGAACAGGATTGCAATACTAGTAGACGCACAGCTCACGAAAATAATGATCAGATGGAAAATTCTGGTAGAATTCCAACTGCCTCCTTGAGTGCGAAGCGAACTAGAATGGTCAAGGGCAGCATTCTCATCTCTTTCGATGGGCTTATACATTCCAGGATGTTACGAACGTCCGAAGATTGAGTTACAATGAAAACATGGCCAAAATTCACAAATCTGTGGAACACAAAATACTCATATCCATATTTCGAGGCAGAACATATACATCGGGTTCCGCATCAGCGCCCTTCCGCAACCGATTAAAACTAAAACCATGCAAAATATTTGTGATGGACGGAAAAGCATTGCCTCGCGAAGTCCATCCATCGGTCGAACACGGTTCGTATTTAATGCAAGGAAATCAGGGCATTCGCGCGTTTCCACGCCATAAAAATAAACTGGGCATAAATACGTCAACATATTTCACGAAAAAATCTCAAGGAACCGGTCGGCGAAAAATCTCACGACGATGTCTCGTAGCCGTTTGACATTCGTTAAATAATGCATACTGCCACGAACAGAGAATATTGAACAGATTCTCAAAATAATGCAATAATTAATTGCGAGAATCGCTCGCTCGGGTGCACTGCACTTATCACCAGCACTTTCAGTTATCCTCGCACTTGACTCTTTTTAGAAACGATCTCCGAACACGCTTGCACTGGCAACCCTGTTAGATGCCAGACACAACTCGCGAGTCTCTTTTTGAGCATAAAAACAAGCAATCTCATATCAAAGATAAAATACAGTACTATAGTCAAAACCTTATCGACTATGAGCGGTACAGTACTCATGTACACCTAATTCATCCCAGATGCTGCCCATCCATTTTCTTTTTAAATCGGAGAATACATTTAAAAAATCAGAAGAGCTTTTATAAAAATTCAATCTTTTCTAGGAAAAATATGGTATACAGCTGAAGGACATCCCATCTCTGGTCTACAGAGGTGCACACCTGTACTATCACTTGTAGTGTAGGAGAATAAACTCATAATCTCAATTACTCACTGTACATTACTGCACTTACTAGATATGTACTATATAGAGCAGTCTTGCCATGTCTTGTGGCATAAGAAATGTACTTCAGGAATAAAAATCAAGAAGATAACTAGAGAACCTCCCTTCCTCCTGCCATGAAGTACATAAGACTCTGTCATCTTCTCATGTGGCCTTCAATCACATGTGTGCAGTACTGTACTGTATATCTTTGTGGCACCAGATTTTTTGCTTCATAACAATTTTAAAATATATGTTGATACTGTAGCAGCAGATGCAGAATATGCCTTACAAAAATGAAAGGAATAAACTAATAATGTACCAGACAGCTGGATAACTTATCCATGAAGTTTAATATTACAATTCCTGAAAACTTGTGCTGCAGGGCCATTCTTCAATGCAGCCACTTTCAGAAGACAGATTTTAACGCAACAGAGATATATGCTGCTGCATGCATCAGGTTCCACATGAACTGGGGTCTTTTGAAAAACACATTTGATTTTTTCTTCGCCCATCAGCCACAATTCTGCTTTCATTTTCATTCTTGCGGAAGCTTTTTTCAAGGTTATATATCGTTCTTCATAACAGCTAAAATCCCACCATGTTTCTCATAGGCCTGTAATCACATAATGATCCACTACCGAATTTGTCTTGCACCGCACATGGATATTGTGTACTGTACTGACCGGCACATGCAGAAGGTATGATGTCGCAACTGTCCAATGCCCAGCAATGATTTTTACAGATTTCTAGAGCTAATTGAAAATGAAAATCTGCAAGGAAGGGGTCCTACAAATAAGCATTTAGCCCTACATCATAAGGAGTGTAAAAGGTAATGAAACAATATACTCCATGTTTTCTGACTGCTAGCGCACGAATTATGACGCGTACAGTACACTGATACATAGCAAATTTCTCATGATTTCAAAAGGAAAGTTGGAGGCATTCAGTGAACTTTCAGGACAGACAGTGAGGAAAACATGACTCGGCAATGGTTAGGCTTTCCTCAAATTAATTTTTAATGGAATTACTGCGCATGTTACGGCAGAGTAGGAAAGTATCGCTTTGTCCACAATTCAAGTTGACTTACAGCCATCTCCTTACGACAACGAGCAATAAGTGAAGTCAAGCTTTACGCACACCTGTAGAATCGATCGTAAATTTTTCTGGTATTAACGTGCTACTGCGGAGTAAGCGGTTATGAATAACGTGCCGAACTTCATAAGGGAATAGCGCGGATACAATACTGCACATGAAAAATGGGATGCAGGATATCCAAAATGATGTCTGAAAAGTGCGATGGGTGCATGAAGGATTCATAGATAAGCAGACAACGATTTCTGAGGCTGTGAATTAGAAAATACCGCGAAGATATACTAAAAACGCAACTTTTCAAGGAAATTTCGACGTGTACTCGGAACCGGATCTACAAAAGACACAGCACTTCAATCTTTAATTGAATCGACACAATTCTGCTAAAGACTGCGGAAAAAAAGCTGCAACACGATGGGCTTTCACACCGAAGCCAAGTGAAAAAAGAGAGATCAGCACTTGAACGAAAATGCGAATGTTTTCGTATCAGCAACCTTATGCTTGCAAATAAGAGTAAAAATTAGATCCGTCGAGTTTCGGAATCTCGGTCTCTTAGCCTTCGGTTGCCTCAGCTTGTTCCGTCGGCTTGACCGCGTCATCTTCTGCTATTTTGGCGACCTTCGTAGGTGGGGCTCCATCATCCTCGCTTTTTTCAGCTTCAGGTTCAGGATTACTTGCATCATCGACTTTCTCTTCGTGACTTTCCTCAGCTTTTCCATTCTGCTCAGCTTCTTCGCCTAACACAGGGATGAGGTTTTGAAAAATAAAAAAGAATCTTCAACGAGAATTGCGTAATTCAAAATTTCTAGTTAATTCATCGTACGTCAATCGAAGCGACACCTATACGTTTCGGGGAAAATCATGTGTAAGAATTACAGAGGTCAAGAACTAGATAGGGGTTCGTATCTACGAGGAAAGCAGGGCACTCGCCCCTTGAGAAGACACTTCCACGCACGAATTATTCATGAACTTGAGAATATAGCACCGCCAATACGTGTAAAAGAAGGTGAAGAAAGTTTTTAAAATTCACCGTTCTTATGATTCTCAGAATCTTTGGCACCATTTTCAGTTGAACCGTTTTCTTTGGAGGCGTCCTCATTGGTACCGTTCTTTTCAAGCTTTGATTCGATTTCATCAGCTGCAATTTTTTTCACAGGTGATTCTTCCGCATTTTTGGTGACTTCCACCTTCTCGCTACATGGGGAATCCTTAAATTAGTCGGCGAGCCGGAAGTGGCTGATGAATAACTCACCCAACGACGCTCGCAGAGTCAACTTCGGCCATTTTGTGTTTGTTCACACGTTACGATAATACTGAGATTCACTTCACAAACGCCTGAAAACGGGAAAATACCACAAGGTTACGTGAAACTTCACGATTCCAACAATAAATAAAACGAACGCATCATAAAAAAAACAGCTGACTTCACATTTTGAGTTCGAACTCTCCAAAATCAGTATCGCGAAAAGGATCATCGATATGATTGAGAATAACGGAGATCGACCGGTATAAACAGAGGAATTCTTTTTTAAAGGATTGTGCCGTTCTTTAACTCGAATTAACAATTTAGCTGAACTCATGAAATTCGGGAGTTCCGCGAGTGGAACTTCATTCCTTCTTATCATCAGCAACATCTGCCTTTTCATCGGCCTCCTTAGAAACTTCAGGAGCAGTTTTCTCTTCAACCACGGCCTTCGCTTCTTCTTCTTTCGCGGGCACTTCAACCGGCGCTTCAGTTTTCTTCTCTTCAGACGAATCAACTTGGACGTCTTCCTTCGTCACAACAGATTCTCCGGCAGCCTCTGAATTATTATCACCCCCGCCATCGGATTTCAAAATCTTCGCTGGGGTAGCATCCGAATCGCCATTCGCAACATCGTCTTTGGGAACTGACTTTCGCTTCAAGCTCTCATCTGTAAAATTGTACTCCTTCAATAATCATCTCTGTTACCCGGCTTTCATCATCCGTACCACTACAGCCATTTTCATGAGTTCCGTTAGTCTCTTTCACAGGCTCGTCATCCACTTTCTGGACGTCTGCTACCTTTTTGACCGGCGAGTCAGACACAGGAACAGCCTCACTGTTAAAAAAAAAAAATTTTAGTAAACGTCACACGCGATTTACACACCACTTACTTAGGCATTTCCACAGCAGCATCGGTCGACATTCTTAAACACAACCACGGATATTATAAGCTCGTAAAGCTAAAGATGCAGGTCGTCTATCACGAAAGTAAAAGCACATGTCATATGACTGAATTGTGAATGCCGGTAAATACTCAAGCTGAACGCAAAAAAGGAACAGAAAACGTTGGAGACATGCTCCCTCGAATATTCCTCACTTCCACGTGTTAATAGACGTCAGCATTCAAGAAATTCAGAAGTAATTCTATGAAATGTTCCGCATCTGCTAAGGGGGCGTTGTACTGGGTTTTAATGGAGGGACGGTTAGCACACTGCATGGTTTCGGTACTACACGGATTACCACGCCGGTACCCCGAAAAGACCACATCATTTTCCGATAAATCATCTGAATTGGCGATCTGCGAGATTTCTGGCTAAACCTTGTGACAACCTCAGCTCCTTAACGACGTGAAAAAAACATATATATCCCACATCATGATGACCGGATTTGCCAGAAGTGGGGATCGGAATGACGAGTAATTACAAGTTCTTGCATGTTCACCATCGGATCTGAACACATGAACTCATCACTTCCGTGCGTCGAAGACGATCAAGGACACCCGCGCATGGCTCAGGGAGAGGGATACAGTTGATGGGAACACAAAGAGGATACGAATGCCACCCAGTCTATGCGCTTCGCTGCTCTCACTACGGTCGTTGCACCCACAACCGGACAGCGCGGGCGCTTACCGGCATCCGCCATGATAGTTGACATAAAAAGGAAATGGACTCCAGACCTACCAACCGTCGACGACGCACCACCTATTCACCAATCAAACAATGAAGTGATGCATATTCCATATACGTTAGGAACTCGTTGGCAACTTGATGCCGGAGATCCGTTACTGAGGACGCACGCCGCAATCTCTTCTTCCTAGTGAGGCTGGATTGAACAAATTTACTAACTCGATATATGTTGGAGAATTTTGACCTTACTTTTTAATAGAGGTCACTCTCCTTTCGCCCTCAAAATGTTTCATCACTGCGGATTCATCATCAACATGAACAAGTGCAATGTCAGACCTGATTACTCATCAATTTTCTTAATTCAGGGTTTGCACAGTTCACACACTGTTCGTGCTTTCATGATGCAAGGGTTGTCCCACTAAAACACATAGGTACAGTATTCTAATTGTTTAAAATACCCCTCATAACATTTTCCAGAACATTTAACGGCAATTTTTCAGATTGTTCAGACATTTGTTTCAAAACTCTTCGTGAACTGGAAACTTTCCAATATGAACTTCAGTACTGTATATGCAAACAGTTATATGTATTCCGGAAGTATTCCACTAATTTCACAATAAAGAACCAGCAGCATCTGCTGACAATTTCTTAGTAGAGTTACAAATTGAAAATTTGTGCCTATTAATGTAAAGTAGATTTTACTTCTCACACAATGTTGACATCTTGAGAAAATGTTGACATCTTGGACGATTATTTTTCACGTATAAATAAAAAGGCAGAGATTTTCGGGGATTGGAATTATGGGAAAGATTTCATGAGTAGATTTCCTCTTAAATATTAAAATTCTTTCAGCTTGAAATAATTTTTTTTTCTAAATGGCAGAATCAATCTACAAACCTTTGAATGGTCCCAAATATAGTTCTGAACCTCGCAGTAACGGAAGACGGTGATTTCCAAACATAAAAAAAGGGCGATGAGCTGTGTCAAATATAATTAATCATACAAGAAAGTTAACTTGACCCAGTTTGTCAGTACAGTAGTTCTTAATTTTACTGCTGAAGGCCATGCAGCAGAGCAATCTCAGGATAATTTTACGGACAAGGGAAAATCACCATTGGAGGCCATTGTGACTGGTAGTTGCTGGTCAACTATGTGTATCTATTTTTTTTTACACCATTGTAACACCCAATCCCCACAGCTGGATTAAGTTATACTGTAATACCTCTAGATTTGCATTCATCCGGCAGATAGGAGGCAGGAATTGTTAGAATGAAACAAAACGATCAGATCGCGGAAACTTCTTTTATTCAAACTCAGATATACCGGTACAAACATCTTAGTTCTGCGGATACGCGTACACCATACAGAAATCGCAACAGAAACAATCATGCCACCTCCATTAGTTGGAGATCTTGAACGCTTTCCGCACAGCCTCCAGACTATTCGCATCAATAGACGGATTATTGTCAACCAACAATAAATCTTCAAGTCCTGCAAGACGGTATGGACAATTATCGACAGGGATCACAACTTCATACACTGTACAGTACCTCGCATCGAATCTTCCGACAAAAACTGAGTTATCAGGACAATTCTCGGCACGCGACTGAGTCCTTGCAAAACATGGAAGCATGTTTCTTCTCCAAACGCGAACTCGGTGAGAACAGAAATGATGCCCGAAAGAATATCTTCAGAGAGAAAAGTTCCGAACAGAGTTGGAAAATTGGCAGGGTCGATTTTCTGACGAAAAAAAGAACAGATGTATTTTCCATCATGAGGAAACAGGAATATTACGAGGTCATTAGGGCCACTGATGGTGATCAAGCAACAGATTCTCAGTCAATTACTGTACTCCGTTTCAATTCGCGGGGAACGCTGCGATGAACGAGCACATTGCTTGATCACCGTCTTCTGCAACAACTGACATCGACAGGATGGCTTCTTACGAGAATTACCTTCATATACTCAAATCGCAGTTTGGAATTGGTAGCCAAAATAGCCCAGTCTCGACTGAACTGCTGAACATTACACGGAGGTCCAATAGGACATGCCTCCGTCCTGGTGAGTTGAAGAGGTCCGAGAAGCTTCTGCTCCTTCACTTCATCTCTGATCACCCGATGGACTTCGCGAGCAGCAGGTTTCTCTTTTTTATCCTCCTGACGAGTGGACTCCCGAGAATCAGACGAAACGCTGTCCGTTACAGGGATTCGTTTCATAGGAACCTGCGAAACAATAAAATTTATCTTCATGTATAAAAAAAAAAGAAGTTTATACTGTATGTACATAATCTTGGCGCTGAACTAGCAGGAAACAATCCGGTACAGTAAACGGGAAGAGATTCGACTTTATAACTAGGAAATAGCGAATATACCGGTATATGATAAGTCAAGATACCTTGGCATAATTTCGATAGTCATAAAAACTCCAGGACGAAAAGGCAGAAATCGAGAAATCCCCAACATGGTCCAGCTAAGCACATCTGAAGTTCCAAGTATTAATGAGCCTTAGAACTTGCGAATTCTAAATAGAATCAAAATTTTATCATTCTCCTTCTCTGCACTAAATTGAGTCACATAGACACGGAATTTTCCTACGCGTGATAAATAGCCTTCGAGTCTCCTCGACACAAAACCCGTCTGATTTGGAGGAAAGAGAACAAAACCAAAACGAAGCGTAGAAGCGAACAGGGTTTCTCTTCTCTGCTTTAGCAATAAAATAATCTGCTACCGCACCCAATCACATAGCGCTGCATTTCCTCCCCAGACAAGGTTGGAACAGTTCTTCTGTTTCCACGACTTCAAAAAATACTCCACCCGCGGAAAAAACTTACCTTGGAGCGTGCCGAAATGGACTTGTTCACCGGCTTCACCACATCGACATCATCCAGGCGCTCTGCAAGAGACTCGGAAATCGTGGTGCTTTCCTGGGCATCTGCGTCACAGGTTTTTTTCAACTTTGCCAGTTCTTCAGTTGCTTGCTTGTTAGATGGTTCCAGCTCTAGAGCTTTCGAAAAATCCTGAATAGCCAACTTGATCAAGTTTCTAGCTGCTCGGGCGGAACCGCGTCTCAAGTAGGCCTTGACATATTCAGGATCCAACCGTAACGCAAGATCGCAGTCTTTCTCTGCTTCAGCAAACCTGAAAATCAGTTGTTTCTTCGATCAGCGTGATAGAATACGCCATCCAAGGCTTTCTCCAGATGGAAGAAAAAAATTTTTAACCTTTGAAGAAAATGATTAGTTATACAGAGAACAAAGATTGTAAAAAAATTTCGCAATAACATATTTTGAGACAAGAAAAATCCCTTCAACAGGAAATTCTGCGAAAAACTCTGAAAATGTAATCAAAGGATTGCATGACGCGGCGACGCATTTCAAATTTTTCAAGAAATAAGATTTTACTTCTCAAGTTTCAAGTACGCCATGGCACGATTAGCGGGCAACAGGGCATTGTGCTGGTCCAGTTCAATCCCCTTTGAATAGGCCTCGACAGCTTCTTGGAATTTTCGTGCTTTGAACAGCATGTTTCCCTAAAAAAAAATTGTCTTCATTAACGGAAAAACAGCGCAATGACAGCAGATGTGGGAGAAGAAAACTAAGACTTCAAGCATAAAGATTCTGCTGGTGCAGCTCTGATACATCTACCATTTACAAGACGATTATTCAATTTCTGCTTCCACCTCAGATCATGTTCGGCATTTACCATCATGCAAGCAAAATGTACGCTGGACTTGTTAAGGCGAATTGTCGTCAAAGACATCACGAATCTCACCTTTTGAGTTTATATTAACTTCTTTTTTTTTCACAAGCATTAGAAGAAGAAATAAGGCATTGATTCGCCAATGTTCACATACTTTCTCCTTCCAGTTATTCGCATTGTGTTTCAGCTGGACATCGGCGATCTTCTTCGCATCCACGGGATTCTTCTCCTTCACAACTTCAGCGACTGCTGGTGCAGTTTTCTGCGAGAATACGAATAGGTAAAATTGTCCAGGACTAACAAAATTAGTGAAAAATCACTTACAGAACTAACTCGGGGACTTTGATTCGATCTCAACATTGCGTCCCTTTCTTTCATCCGTTTCTCCCACGATTTGAAATCACGCGCAAGATCTTCCACTTCTTCAGCATGACGCCGAGCGCTCACCTGTGCACGCATGGCGGCCTCTGCCATTTTCAAAAACTTTTCCTGCGAAAATGCGTTCGAACTACGACTCCCACGTGCATTAATTCAGCTTGGATCCCAAGCAATGAACATTCTCCTATGGAATAATACCATTGTAACACCGAGAGATGCATTTCTGGTCTCGAAAGTTCTTCACCTTCGGAGTGACAATGGTGGAAAATATATGCTCAGAATGCGGCCACGCAAATTTTGAAAAATATTCGACAAAATTAAAAAGTGCACCATCAACAGCACAGCAAAATCGCTATTTTCAAGAAAACCGAAGAAAGATTAGGTAATAACTTATCCCAAGAACGATTGATCACGCTCGACCGAACTCAACAGCGAAGAAACCCAGCAAGACCGAAGAATTCGATCCCAAAGAAGCAGCGATTTCCCCTATCTGATAACCACAGTTTTTGCTTTTAACGCGAAACGCCTTGAAAATCCACGAATTCACTGCCCGATCAACAACGGGTTCCGCACTTATGTCACCATCGCTCTTGTTATTTGGGGTGTCTATGTCTACTCGTCCTTCGGACGAGAGGAATACTTTGACTCCATTTTTGGAAGCATCCAGTGGGCAACGTAGTTTCAGCACCATGCCAAAAGACTGGTCAATAGGATCGGAAGAAGAAGAACTTGATATCGGGGAGATCAGGTTATCCGGAGCCAGTTTGTAAGCGTAACGGATGACGACTGGCAGAGAGAGGTCGAAGTCGCACACAAAAATTCTGCAACATTCAAGGATTCCACAAGTGCCAACACCAATTACGTCAACGTACTTTCCTAAGCCCTCATGCGAATACAGTACTGTATCACCACATGAACTCCAAAAAATTCCTGAAGGCAACATTATTCGATTCATTTCTAAAGTCAAGAATCGTCGAATTATTGCTCTGGTCAACTCTCGTGATTCAATCAACTTATTTTACAAGCACTGCGCACCTGAAATTCTAACTGAAAATGTCAGGAGTAGTCAGGTGGGAACAACATTTTTGGGTGAACAAGGTTGCATCGTTTGTAAGTTCCTCGGGGTTAAGCAACAAGATACACAGCAGTGTTCCCCAAACCGTGGTCTGCAAAAATTTTCTCCAGCCTAATAAATTTATCAGAATATAGCGATGAAAGACGTTACAGCATCTTTATCTGAAATTTAGGCATGACAATGGCATTGAAAATTGTCTCATGAAAAATAAGTGCTGATTTTTCTCCCAACAAATTTTCCCTTGATGAAATAAAATTATTTTAATTTCTTGTTCCGAGAAACCTTTCTTCAAGCACACTTTCATTTATTTTTTGAAGATATGCCACTATAGCTGCTTCATTGGTTAATTTGATTTTTGTAAAAAAAAAAAACAGAAAAATTTCAAACATTGTACCTGCTGCGAAGTCTATGAAGCAAGAAGTTACCTAGCCTGCAAAAATTTCATGAAACTTCGCAGATCCGTGGATTTTTCTTCCTGGAAATTTGCTGTTCCGCAAGAGAAATGTTATGGAAATGTGTTGGCCCGTGGGCCCAAAAATGTTGGGGAACACTGCTTTACAGGATTGTAACAATTTCTCGCAGTACTTCATGATCGCTTAAATATAACGCGATTGGAACTTCAGCTGATTCTACTTTTCGATAAAACTTTTCCACTGTCCATTTATTTTACTACACTTTCAACATTAGACTTCGAGGAATGATAACTGGTTCTAAGAAAAGCTGTTTTTTTCCTGATCAGGGCAAGATTAGCATCAACTATGTTTTCCAGCTCCACAAAACAAGCTTTTTTCAAGGGATGCAAGTTCGGGTTCCAGAGAAAAAAAAACCGCAGACTTGATACCAGGAAACCTCACAGAACCTAGATGATTACTGAATGTAAAAAAGTATTACCTGATGAAATCGGGGTTAAAGCCATCAACATTATTGAGTTTCAAGCAGGAGCCGCCTTGGTAAGCGTCGTCGTCATATGACTGTAAAGCTTCCAGTCGCTGAACCTGAGCTTTCACATCGCCCCAATTAGGATAGGTCGCTTGGGCATAGGGAACGATTTGCATCATCGTTTCGTCAGCAATCTTCGCGGACTCCGGACTAACCCACAATGGCTGATACTGCTGTAGACTCAAATTCCACCAAGGGCCACCGGAGGCAACGCCGTTTTTGTACATTTTCTTCCCCACACCTCGGCAGAATGATGTACGGAATGGTAACTTTTTTGGTCCCTGCAAATATCACGAATTATCTACCAAGTAGCAGATAAGTGCTGAAACAATAAATAAGAATGAGATCTCTTCCGAGAAAAACCGTATAGGGGTAGGGCTATTTTCATGCTTCGAGAAAATGTGTACCTCCTTCAAAATCAGAAGTGTAAATACCCTCACTAAAATAAATTGCAATGAGTTCTCAGTTCGCGAACTATTGTATTCTTAATGCCCACAATTTCCACATACGAAATTTTCCAAGGGGGATCAAGTGGTGTTCATGTGAATACAAGGTGCAGGGATAAATAAGGTAAAGTGTACAAGTGCCCAGTCCACTGTTTCAACGAAGTACCTTTTATTTTTCCCTTAAAAGCCGATATTGATCTCAAAGAGAGCAACTTAGAGAAAGTCCAAAGAAGTTTAATGAATACTTCGAAAAATATTGGAGCATCTTTAGATGTGATAAAAGTAAAATATACAGTACTCACCTTGAAATACGAATACGGGACAAGCAGAGACCAGAAAAAATTTTCCAGTTCCACGAACGCCTCTCCATTAAATTTTTCGTACGTCCACGCGTGAGCAAATAGAGCAACCGACATGTCATTCTTCCGAGCGAGTTCCATCGCCTTCATCGGAACAATAATTGAAGTAGAACAGCATGAGTAATGAATCACGCACGCAAATCAAGAGGCGACTTAACCTACCCGACGTGTGTGGAATCCTCCATTCCCATACATTCCCCTTCCGTGAACGTCCAAACCAACGTACACATCACGTTTACGATCACCGGCATTTACAGCACTGGTAGACAAATTTCCGGCACGCCATGTGTAATTCAGGAAAATTCCATCGCAAGCATCAAAAAATAGCCTGCAACAAAAATGCTCTCTCGTGCACTACTGACGGAAGATTTGCAAGCACTCCAGCTAGAACTTCACCATGTCAGATTTCTTTACCACACAGCCGGGAGGTTCTCGGGAAGCCGCGAGTCCTCCCTAAAAGAACTGAAAACTCCGGTACAACGGGGGTTTCCGGTTACAAAGCTAATGGGGTTAAGGGAAAAATCGGTTCAGGGTTCCAGGAAACTGCTGTTCCTCCCATAAATCCAGCCCTATTTACTCCCCTTTTCCGTTTCCGCCGTAAGCCAAAATCTGTGCGCATTGAACAGAACAATTGCACGGAAGCTGAACGAAACTGGAGCAGGATTATGTCGAAAGTTCTCGAACATTCAAGAAACCCGAATACACACGAATACTAGGCAGATAGAAGATTTCGTCGCCCATTTTGAAGACTTAACCCAGATTTCTATCCATCTTCAGATTTCAAAATGAAGCACGAAAAAAAAATCGGTTTCTCATATTAAACGTTATTCATCATAAATAAGTTCCAACATCTTCAAGTGGTCAAAATAGAACCGGTAGTGCCGAGAAGTCAAGCTTGACCTACGCTGACGTCAGAAAAAATGTTCCACCACTAACCTGATTCAACGTAATGCTCCGAATGAAAACAATAAACCCGCGCGGTTCACAATCATGGGTGACAACCGAAACAAGCCTCCACGGTTCGGAACATTATACAGATAAGTATTTGGTGATGATAAGGCACTCTAAATTTCTGCAAACCCATTTCTCCATCTCCAGTGTTAAAAACCATGGGAGCGGTTCGAATATACGCTGCAGCAAAGAAATGACTCAACGAGACGGCAATAAGGGAAAAGAAATGGGACAGCAAAAACGCAAGAATATATTTTTTTCCTCGAATTCCAGAGCCCCTCGGAGTTCACTGTAGGGGATGTAGGCAAGTTTGTTTCTACGAACTTCCTTTCCCTTCTGCCTTAATTGGTGCTATCGAACACGTATAACGTCCCTTCTCGTTACACAAACGCTGCCATCTGGCACCCAGACGGCGTTGGCGTCATTTTCAGAAAATTTCTTTGAAGCATAAACGTGTTGGAAGTTACGATCCGCATTAGCTTTAGACAGATTAACTCAAGTATTCGTATCTTCGGATTACTGTTATATTAAAACCAATGACAAGCAGCTTGGAATAATCTCCGAAGACATCAAAAAGTCAGTGATACCAGATATTCCTGTACTGTAAAACACAACTTTCCATAGGTTGAAAAACCAAAGCCTCCAGAATCCCATTCATGCCTCGACCCAAAAATATTGACAAAGAAATTTCACACATTATCTCGTCTGAACAAGTTTAGAGGGAAGTCATTACTGTACTTACAAAATAAGTTCAAGAACTCAAATTTAGGTACAGTAATTGAATGACTTTAGGCTTGGCATAATGAAGTGCTGCAAGTACTGTATTTAGCAAGAAAAGCGATTATTTACTGGGGAGAAAAAGCTGAGCGGAAACAAAGGACACGAGAAAAATTGCAGAAGAAAATGAAAGCGAAGATTCCAGATTATATAGAATACGGCAAAGAAAAAAAAACTGCCGTATTAAATATTCAGAGAATTTTTTGGAATTCTCGATTCAACTTGAATCTAAAAGTTCACATTGATAGTTTCAATTTCTTCATTAATCACTTAGAAAGGTGTCAGGCGAAAAAAACGTCGAATAAAATTCCAAAACAAAGAAAACATTACACGGACTTGAAAATTCGTTATACTGTACTCAGTGTACTGTATAGAGAAAAATCAGCATAGACAAGAGTGTAGAGAGCGTCCATCTGTACAAGACTGTATTTTCTTTCAAGAAGTAAGCCTTTTATTCATTAGTAAACAGTATAAAAATTAAATATTCGAGAATACTTCATCATATTGTTAAATTTAATCAGCCTCGATTCCGAAGAACAAAAGGTTTCATGCACTTGGAAATACTGTACCTAATTAAAATTTTCAGCACGCCATGCATAATTCAACATTTTCGGAGGTCTCTTATTTCTTCATGACGTCTGAGAACTTGGTTCCATCCTCGAAGATTAAAATACATGGGCAATGGAAGGGAAAAAACGCACTAAATGCTGAAGTTGATTAATTTATGTAAATAAGTTGACAGGATGCTGAACTTGGGGGCAAAACTTCATTTGCCCAATTACGTAGGCTTTAATACATAATTTTTCTTAAGAGAATTCAGCCAGGGACTTGATAACAATTTGACATGAACAGGTTCGAGTTATTAAGGTGCAACTGTATTCCATTATGAATTTCACGGTTTCCACGTCGTTGTCAGCTTATAAATTTTTCCTACTATACAGTATTTACTTGGTCTGTTCACAACTTTTCAGATAAAAAAAAAATCGGGATTTCGTGGTCAAGGACGAAAAACTTGGGGACAGCAATTAATATCAGTGTAAAATGGCAACCGGACCATAACAGCCCGTGGTTTTACGAAGAATAACAAATTTTTAAATAAATATCCGAACTTGTATACTCACTGATTCATCGGATTGAGCTCATTCTGCCACTCCAGCTTTCCTTCAGCCGTGACCGCATCGTACCACAACACGACGGATTTGCCGTGCTTCAAACGTTTCGTTTCCTCGGTCAATAATCGCAGAAAATTCACCATATCACTGATACGCCGCTTCGGAACAGCGTTTTCCACATTGACTAACCACCCGTCAAAATTGTAGAAATAAGCGATCTTTGCCAAATTTCGCGCAACTTTGGAACATTCGTAGTCGGACTCCAGAATCTGGTTCCAAACGTCAGATCCTTCCGCATGTTCGGAAATGAATGTTCCTAAAAATATATTTTACACACTTTTGAAACAAGTCAGAGGAAGACCACAAATTCAACCTTCAACTCAGAACACTACAATGCTGTTACAGGCATTTAAATTTTACAATGATAATATACAGTGCATACGAATGTCACATACGGTCCCTTTGAACTTGGCTTCATTCAGTAAGAGAAAACTGGACCAGAAAATTTCTCAAGAATATTTACAAATGGCTGTAGACGGCTGTTTTTTAAATTCTACACAGTATATTTCATGACCTTGCTCCCTTTTAACGGGAAAACATCACTTCAAGTAAATCAGGTTCACCTGCCACATCTTCAGTGTATGTTTCAGGAAGCTGCACGTTGCTCTAGTATTCAATTGCCCATTTAAAATAATGTATTGGAATTTTAGCGACAAATTTTTAGAAATTACATGAATAGGCTTTCAGTAAATCATTCGGCAGTTGTTCCGAGTCTTGCTGTTGTTTTTTATCTCAGTTTGCCGGTACTGTATCAGAACAACTTGATTTGAATATATTGTACAGACGACGTATTGAACCAACACATGTATGCATACAATTAAGGTGGTTCAATCTAAGGCAGATAAACCCCGTTTTCTTGGGTACCACGCATAACACCTCAAATGAGGCTCACGCCCAAATTTTTCAATGTAACCCCACATACCACCCTCACCTTCTGTTTAGGGACTGAACTTTAAAATATTTTTTAAAATAAAATAATCAGAGTTTACCTAAATAATTGGAATTGTAGTCAAACAGAAATTTAATTTTTTCGTACAGGTATACTCTCCAACGCAATCTTGTCTACGATAACTTTCTCCGAATAACAAATTTTTTTTCTCACAGGGCTTTCTGCCCATGTTATAGGGTTCTTTAAGAATGAATTCTTTCTAAAACAATTTTTTTCTGGTTGCTTGAATTTTGTTTATTTTTACGGTTGTTCGCTTGTTCAACGAGTCCATCTGTATTTCCACTACAAAATTGTCAACTGGAATCAACTATGACGCGCACCAAAACATTAACCATTTCTTAAAATGTTATACTGTACCCACATATGACGCGTACCCTCTTGATTTCCAAAAAACTGTGCGCGTGATACTCCACTAAAGAGGAGGTTGCTTAATTTTTCAATTCAGAACATTTCGCCAAAGAAGTAAAATCTCATGACTTTAAAAATGCTCGCAACATGGTGGATGATTTTCATTGGGTTTCTTTCCATTTCCGTTCAAAATGATGCTTACATTAAAAGCTCACAAAATTGAAGTTGAATAAAATTACCAAGAACAGCAACTCCATGAAGATGCGCAGAGGCGACCCAATGCGGAGGCGGGATCGTCACCAAGTAATGACTGAAGTAAACGAACACGTCCACGAAATTCCAATTGAAAAAATGGAAAAATTCATTGTTGGTGGTTCCAGCGATGTACCTGATGAATATTTTCTTCACTTTCACCAAGGAAACATAATTATAACACCCGCGGTTAGCAAGAACCTACTTGTCATCCAAGTAGCCCCCTTTCATGTCATGACAAAGCAACGTTCTCGGAGCCGCAGAATCCGTAAAAATCCTGAGAGTTGACGAGCTTGAAGACGGAACACTACGCTTGACACTAGTCGGACGCAGTGGGACTTCGAACGCAGCCGGGGCATAGTTGAAGAAGTAGGTGGTCCAATCCAAAAGGCCGTTCAACGTCTTAATGGGCTCTATCGTGCCCCAACTCATTCTTCATCACCACATGCATACACGAGCGAATTTACAGAGCACTAAATGATATACGTAACCACCACATCATCACACAATTTTACACCCAGGGTTTGGATTGATAACAAGTAGTTCAACGGAGTGAAACATATGTAACACGCGGAAAAAATGATGCAGCACAAAAATTTGAGCGGGAGAAAATGTCGCAACTGAGCTCCAGAATTGGGATACGATTTGTATCAAAACTCCCACTACGGCATTCCGTATGAATTTTCAAAGCATGAATTCAATTCAAAAGTTATAGAACCCACGAATGAACGAAAACAGACGATAAAATCAGTACATCAGTAATGACACGAAAATTAATGCGGATTGACCGTCATGCAGTCAGTTTTTATCTCTCATTCGCATGTTCGCTTCAATAATGTTCCCACAAAACGTTTACTTGTACCCATTGAGGGTTGATTTACATCTTGAATCCTAAATTTAAAGTTCAATCTATCAGCTGAGACATTTTCCCATGACACAAAAATAATATGAAGGTTTTCAGAAATATTTTTCATTTTGATACTGTACTTCCGCAACCACCAAATGGAACAGCCTCGTTAACCACAAAGCTTGAGATCAGCATACTCCTTCACGCCATAGATTTCCGAGCATCAACATCGAAAGCAACAACATGAAAAGGCACTGAGATATAGGAGTTCCGTAATCACAGTGCAAGACCATAGCAAGCGCCCGCATCACGAATTTTAATAAACCCACGAATATGCCCTTCCAACAGATTCGCATCAATTGAGCAAAAAATATTCAAGCCGAAACCTCAGCAAAAGTTTTGAGAACACGCGTCAGATATACTCGAATGCGATGAGCTCCTTAAAAGGCGTTCGATTTCAAGCGATCTTGGGAACGGGGACCTCAGGCACGTTTGTCCGATAAGCCAAGTAAGTATTGAAGACCAAAGCAACACACTTGAACGATAAAGCAAACACAAATAAATGCTTCACCGAACGAAGGTATCGAAAAAAATATATAATTCCATCAGGTACGTGTATCAATGATCAAATTAGTTTAAAGGACATAGAATTATAGAGGATGAGAACCAGAAGACTAAAAATGTATGTTGTCGAAGAAAGCCTCGGAACAATAGAAGAGCAACTTGAAAATTTTCACAAGAGGTTGAAACCTGAACTGAGCTTGATTAGCCTCACGAGCCAATCCTTGAAAATTAGTTGGATGTAAATGTAATACAGTAGAATCTCGTAATAAAAAATTATTGCTTGAAACGAATCCGAGTTTAACGTTCCTGTCCAATAGCCCTGTTGTGATTTCAATCGCCACACAACTCATCCTCGTAACTAAGCATTTTACCGAATCATAAAAGCGTCGACATAAGATTATACTGAATAAACGGGACGTATGAGAAATGAACTAACCTGCACGAACAAAGTGCGATATTCCAGCGGAACCAACGAAAAGGTGACCACCTGGGCAGCTGGCCAAATATAGTAATTCGTCATGAGGACATCCCAGTATGTGTTTTTCATGAACTTCTTCATTTTATCGTAATGGATTCCATTTCTGAATCCTTCTATGGCCAACAAAATGGTGGAGAGAAAAGCTGGAGCGAAGATCAACTGGTCCGCCGCTACCTTCTTCAGAACCGTCTGCGCAGCTCCATTTGCCCCAAAACGCGCTTCCAGAACTCCATACCATCCCTGAAGAATTTATCTCGTCATAGCAAAAAACAATGTAGTACTGCATACTGCAGCTTTGTATTTTCATACAAAACAAATCATACCCTCAGCATTGGCCCAACATAAATCGTTCCGATGGCTGCGAACCTCAGGGCCCTTCCTTTGTCAACTTCCGTCAAACGCTTTTCTTCAACGAGCGTTTGGGCGAGGACATCACCGACACCCATAAGAAACCCAGTTTGTACCATCTGCGTCTTGTAAGGGTGAACGCGGAGCAGATTAGCATAAACTCGGTAAATCGCAGTCATTTTGTTATCTAAAAAAAGAAATAATAATTATGCACTACTTCATATCTGAGTACCTTGCAAAACCTATTGAATTTTTCCAACGAAAGAAGCCATATTGATTGCTGAGGGAATCCACGCTTTATTATCGGAATTCCTACAAAAACGGAACTCAAGATAAATAAGTCACCCGCGAAAACAAGGCAGGGATAATTGCACGGCAGCTCTAAAGCGGGATGGTTCCAAGTTGATCACAACACGTGAGCAACGAAAGCTATGCTCCACTCGTTTTTAAAACAGCCATTCCTAACGCAAACATTTCTAAATTCGCAATTTAAATGGGGTCGGTACGAAAGTGTGAACGCATTTAGCGATACACGTGATCTGCGTAAGCCGTTTACATTCTGGTACACCGACCAGAGCTGTTTCTAAGGAACACTAAGAAATCGAAAATTCCGCATAAAGCCGAGATACGCCGACATAGTGTGATGAGGAAGAGATTTGATTTTTAGAGGACTGGGACAACTCGCCGGAAATCTCAGAACTCGGCCACGGAAGTTTAAACGGAGGTGAGCTAGGACGAGAGGGGATATAATCATCTTCCTTGTTAGCTTTATTCGCAAGATACACATTCCAAAATAGAGCGACGCACTGGACTACCAACAAACGGTACTGCAAGGAAATGAAATAGAAATTCAGCAACTGCACACTAGGCCATACGGTCCAATTCGCTTTCAGGATCTGAAAAAAAGCAGCAAGAAATTGTTACAGAACACATGGAACCATACACGTTTTCAATTTCTTCACGCACGTTCTCCAGCGCAGTAGCCTCTATCAACTTTGATGAAATGATCCAAAAGAATTTAAAACAATCAGGGAATTAAATATGAACAAGTTATAAGAGTTATCTTAACATAGCAAGGACACTTCCATGGCATTCAGTTCTTTCAGAATCGGGGGTACAGTGTTATTTTTTACTTTTGCACAACTAAAGCTCAACAGGATTGGTTCAAAGCTCTTGAAAAAAAAATACAATCTCTCCAGTCTAGGATTACAGCTGTTTATAAGGATTTGTTCCTCAGAAGTTCAGACCGATTTCACCTTCAAGAGATTACTTCGATCAAAAGCAATCCTACTCTTAGTCGCGAATCTAATGCCATTCCATTTAAGACACACCACAGCTCCAGGAACAATATAGCACCTCAAATGAGCCCTCTTTTCTAGTGATCATGAGCAAAGTTTGCAATTTAATCCTGCGTTTTCATTGCTCATGTCGGTAGGTTTCTTACCTCCCATCCGTGGTGCTGACAGAATTCTAGCGTATGTTCGAAGTCGTGAGTTTTCGCAAAATGCACAGAACCAACAAGAATAGCCAGAACTGGAGGAGCAAGTAATCCTTGATCAACAAATGTTTTGATGATGGCTTTCTTCAACGTTTTTTCTTTTCCTATGAACCGATCCAACGTCTGAAACCTTCATTTCATTTCGAAATACAATGACAAATTATTCAGAAATTAAAGGAATCGAAACAAGAAAATATCACGCACCACGCTCTCAACCCGGGTCCGGCAATGAAGGCACCGATCAAACCGAACCGTATAACGCGGTAAGGTTCTACGTTGCGGAGTTCGATGCCTTCGACACAAGTCTGAGACAAGAAATCACCAGCTGCCATTAAGACGCCACTCTGAGCACCAAGAAGCAGCCGCGGATTTCTGTCCAGCAATTTGTCATAGGTCTTGATCAGTCGCCACACCACACGTTTAACTAGCATGTTCTGCAACGCGGCACGAGCAGCACCGCCTATCAGTGTTGTAACATCTGAAAACGAGCACAAGAACAATTTCACAACGAACCTTCCGAGTTCCCCACATCTTCAGCAGAAGGGATGGTATTTCTTTAAAGATGACCCATAGCCAATCTGCTCAGACCAGCTTCGGAAAACTAGGGAATTCACCTTTAAAAGGCCAACACATTTCCTAATACCTGGACACAGCCCCGCCAATTTCGTTCATGGTCAGAGCGTCAACTGCGTTTAAAATCGTCGTAAACACGTACGGTATTTAACAAGCAACTTTTCCAGGCATTGCATAAGGTTTCCCTGCCTGGTTTTCCGGGAAATTGGTTTTCCCTCCTTCTTTAGTTCGCTCGTATCGTCGCTGTGGACCTATATATGGCCTTTCATGCTTACCTAGGCTCGTGCGGATCAAGGTGTTTTTCGGGAGCAACACTTATGTCATCACATGACATGACATTTGCCTGGTGTAGTTTCTCGCCGGAGCAGAACTCTTGGTCAGCCAAACTCTAGGCCACTGCACCCCCCATCCCCTCACTCCCTATTCTCATCACTCTCTCCTTCATGAACACTAGTGATGGACTTGAGGGTTTGAGTTTACAGTGCGCTGGGCGGTGTCACAGGACTATTGTGACACCAGGTCTAGTAAGGATTTTCACACTGGAATGACAGGTTTCACAGGAATACTTCTTTACAGTCGAAAAGAGTCCACTTTTTTGTCATTCAAGTATACAAAGTTTTAACCTCCAGCTTCTGCACTGATCAGATTTGAAAGTGCAAACCTTCCTGAACTGTGGTTTAAAAAGTTGATACAGATGGAGCTCATAACTTGACTGTGAGGACAGTGAGGACTGTGAGGACAGTTTGACAATTTGATTGAACAAGTACATCCACATCATAGAAGTACCTTGAGGCAGGGCCAGATTAAAAAAAGTTGATACAGATGGAGCTCATAACTTGACTGTGAGGACAGTGAGGACTGTGAGGACAGTTTGACAATTTGATTGAACAAGTACATCCACATCATAGAAGTACCTTGAGGCAGGGCCAGATTAAAGCATGTGCTAATGATGCTGCAGCATTATGGGTTCACCAGGGGATTAATAGGCCTCTGTAAATTTAAAAAATCAGCCAACTGGAGCATTAATAATTTAAGAATAAATCTGAGGAAACCTGACACAAATACAAATTTGTAGCATGCAAACTGCATATGTTATTGGTTGAAAACAGGTGCACTCTCATGCCTGCTTTTACTGCTTGCATACACCTGGATTATTTACTAGGATTGCAAAATTTAAAAAAATCTATACATTGGTGACTGGCCTAGCAAACACAAGCATGCAGCTCCAGGACTGTGTTTGCTAGGTGGAACATTATTTGTAGGGTAAGTAATTTTTTCCCTTGAGGACCAATATAAAATCCACTAATTGGTTCCTGTAAATGAAATCTACTGCTAAAATGATAAAAATTGCCTGAATTTTAAGAAATTGAAAGAAAAATACTTTAAAACACCTGAAGGTTCTTCTGAAGATCTTCCTATTTAAATCAGCTAGATGCTCTCCATTCTGAATGACATATAGAAACTGTACCAATTGTACTTCATGCATATGCGACATCTATGAGTGAAGTAGGAGTCAATCCTCTGTCATGACTATGCATAGATGTCACTTTTGCATGAGGTACAAGCACTGGTTAGACCTCTTGCAATTTAAACCAGAACTATAGGGCTAACTGGCACTTGGAATTTCC